TAACAATGATGGAATTAACAGAAGCTTTAAAAAAGCAAAACATTGGGAAAGCACCAGGTCCAGACGGTTTGCAGGTGGAATTTTATAAGACATTCCAGGAAACATTGAAACTTCACTTATTAGAAATTATGAATGAAGTTACGACAAAGAAGAGAATACCTAAAACATGGTCAGAAGCATATATAACACTTGTACCGAAGGAGGACACAGACCCACAGCAAGTTAAAAATTACAAACCTATATCCCTATTAAATTCAGATTATAAAATGTTTGCTTCAATTCTGACAGAAAGACTGAAAAGATATTTAAACAATTGTATTCATCCTGATCAAAATGGATTTCTGCCAAAGAGACAGATTAAAGATAATATGAGAATAATTTTAGATACACTGGAATACTGTGAGGCACATCCTGAAAAACAAATGGCTCTGATGTTTATAGATGCACAAAAAGCCTTTGATAATGTGACTTGGTGTTTTATGCTGTTACAATTAGACCAAATGGGCTTTAGTAAAAAATTTACTCAAGCCATCAAAACAATATATCATAAACAAACTGCAAAGGTTACGATAAATGGAGAGTTAACAGACTTTATAGATATAAGGGACCAGACAAGGCTGTCCACTGTTGCCTCTGTTGTTTGTGTTCTGGAAGTGCTGAATAGGAACATCAGAGAAGTAAAAGAAATAAAAGGAATGAAAATTTAAAAAGAAGAGTATAAATTACAAGCTTTTGCAGATGACCTGGTATTTATATTAGAGGATCCATTGGAGTCTGCACCTAAACTGATAGAAAAGATAGAAGAGTATGGGAAAGTAGCAGGCTTGAAAATAAATAAAGATAAAACAAAGATTTTAGCAAAGAACATGTTAGTAAGACAAAAGAATGAATTGGAGGAAGTTTTGGGGATCCAGGTCACAAACAAGGTTAAGTATTTAGAGATACATATAACACCAAGATGTAGCACACTTAAGGAGGACAATTATCTCAAACTTAAACAACAGGTTGCGACAGATTTGATAAAATGGGAAAATTTACAATTATCACTGATTGGGAGAATATCTACAATTAAGATGAATGTATTGCCCAGAATCTTATACTTATTCCAGACAATTCCAATCAGATTAGGGAAAGAATTTTTTTTGAAGATTTAAACAAAATAGCGCTAAAATACACTTGGCAGGGGAAGAAAGCAAGAATAAAACTTAAATTGTTACAAGATGCAAGAATAAGAGGAGGATTTGCTTTGCCCAATTGGGAATTATACTACCAAGTGACAAGTCTGATGTGGGTAAAGGAGTGGATAACATTAAGGAATACTAGACTTTTGAATTTAGAAGGACATGACTTGCTGTTAGGGTGGCATGCCTTCCTCTGGTATAAGGGAACTAAAACGCAGGGGTATTTTAGAAGACATTATATTCGAGAAGCATTGTTTCTAAACTGGGAGAAGATAAAAAAGCAATATTATTTAAAAATTGCACTATGGTTATCTACTATTGAAGCTTTTTCCTATCCAATAATATATAAAAAGGAACAAACAGTTAGATATGGGGAGATATTGAATGAAAAGGGTGAACTTAAATCTATGCAAGCGTTGGAAGAACAAGGTGTAAAAATGAATTGGTTTTCATATTTGCAAATACAATCTAGATTTGATAAAGATATTAAAACAAAGTATCTGACAAGTTGACTGATTTAGATAAAATTTTGACAGGTACTGATGAAAAAGTAATAAAAAAACTTTATGGACACTTGCTAGAGTTTAAATTAGAGGAAGAACAAGTAAAAGAAACAATTATTGCATGGGGGAAAAATTTCAGATATGGGATTAACTTAGATAAATGGCAAAAATTGTGGTCTCAAAAATATAAAATGACAGGGTCAACTGCATATAAAGAAAATTTGTATAAGATATTTTGCAGGTGGCACTTACCCTCACAAGAATTGCCAGGATGTTCAAGGATAAATTGGATAAATGTTGGAAATGTCATCAGATACCTGGTTTATATTACCACATGTGGTGGACACGCTCGGATGCAAGAAGATATTGGACTATAATCCACACATGGTTGATAAAAATGACAAAACAACACATAGACTTTAAACCTGAGATATTTTTATTGGGAATTATACCGGAAATATATTGTAAAGAATTGAAATATTTGATTGTAAATGTTTTAACAGTGGCTAGAATTGTATTTGCTAAGAACTGGAAAAATGAAAAAAAGCCTATGCAGGAGGAAATTATTAAGAAAATCATAGACTGTGCCGAAATGAGTAAATTGACATTTGAAATTGGAGAACAAGAGGATAAACAATTTTATATGATAGGGGATTTATTTTATCAATGGTTAGATAAAAAGACATGGTAAAGAAATAGACTAGTAAGCCTTACAATAAAAGTTAATAGATAGATATAGAATACAATATAAAATATATAACCATTGGATGAATGTATAAGATTAAATCATAATGAAAATTAGAATATCTCATATAAAATGATGGAAAAATAGTCAAATGAATGTTTAATAATTGATATTATATAAGCACAAGCTAGATCGATAAGGTGAGAATTTATATGGTTTTATGTTTTTATGTTTATATGTTTGTTGTAAAAAATAAAAACTTTGTTTTAGAAAAAAGAAAGCGTCCTCACATATTGCATGACGGAGGGGTATGCTGGCTTGACAGCCACGGATAGAAAGACATTACAGAGGTGGTGAGCACAGCACAAAACCTCGTGGGCTGTTCTATGATACCATTAGATGACATCGCTAGGGCCCATAAGCCTTAGGAGACTGAGGAAAATCCTCAGGGACGACCCACACCCTGGTCAGCCCTTCTTCACTCTCCTGTTATCGGGTAGGAGATAGAGAAGCAGAGCCAGCCGCACCAACAGGCTGAAGAACAGTTTCTACCCGTGGGCTGTCCGATTCCTGAATGGAAAATAATTTTATGTCAACATAGTAGGATAGGGCCAGCGCGTTGTGCAACAAGGTCACTTGGTGTAATGAGATTGGGACTGGGTTAGGGACTTCTGTCCTCACTGTGAGTTGTGTTGGGGGTGCACCAAGGGAGTCTCAGCCAACCTCATTGTACACATTTTGTACTCTGACAATAAAGGTAATAATAACAAAGACCCCTGAGCTTGGCAGTCAGCCTCTTCTTGTTTCAGGGAATGGCCAGCGGCTGTTAAACTGGAGGAACCACTCCTCTTCTACCCTGATTCCAGTACACTCAGTTAATTCCTGGAATTAGAGGGTTGGAAGAGACCATAGAGATCATAGCTCTGGCTAAGGAGAACTCGCTCCAAACAGAAAACGTATTTATTTGTATCACACTTTATTATGTTTACAAAGAACTCAAGGTGGTGAACATAACCTCCTTCCTCTTTTCTCCACAACAGCCAACTGTGAGGGTGACTGTCCCAAAGTCACCCAACTGTCTGTCATGGCTAAAGTGGGAATGTATAGTGTAAATATTAAAAACTACTTTTTAATACAGCCCACTACAGCTCTTGTTATTTTATCCCCGCTGACAGAACAGCATGGGACCCTGGGTGGGCTCAAAGGGCTGGTCCCAAGAAGTTCCTGGAGCCAGAGGGAGGCCGTGGGCGAGTGGGAGAGAGAAGAGGCACCATGCGGCCTCTTGCCACAGGCCAAGAGGCGCTGGAGGACCTTTGCGAGGGGACGTGGCCATGCCTGGTCAGAGCCCCGGGGGACTCTCGGGAAGCCAAGCTGGAAGGAGGAGGGGGAGCAGGGGCACTCGAGGGTCTTGGAGAAGACTCCCGAGAATGCTGTGGAATAACCACAGGAAACATTTCCAAATGTTTGGGAAACCTTTATGCAAAGGCCCAGGTGTAACGCTGGGATGGTTGGAAGGAAAGAGAACAGCCAGCCTCAAGATGGGGGACTCTTAGGCTGGGGCTGGATGCGCTATTGGAAAACCGGGAGGACCAGATTAAGGACTGATTTTGGTGGTGGACAGAGTTCGCTCTCTGGCTTCCGCGTTTCATCACCACGCTAGGTAACATCATCAGCAGAAGGTCTGTGGAGATTCTCAGTCTTCCAGGTCATGGATGTACCAAAGGTGCTTTTTCGGGAGGCAACTGGACTCTATTTTTTTCTTTTGAAGAAGTTTTGCTTCTCACCAAAAGAAGCTTCCTCAGTTCTGACTGGACGGTGGGGAAGGGAAGGATTTATACTCCTTGAGGGCAGCTGGTCACTTGCATCCTTTTAGGGGGTCGTTGAGGCCACTTGGAGGTCTTGCCTGTGTCTCTGGGTCACCTGAGTGGTGCAAGTGCCTGTAGAGCCTTCTTGGCTGCAGGATGTTTTCTGCCCTGTTTCTACCACTCGGCTGGTCCTGAGGACAGCAGAGCTTCTGTTAAAGCATCTTCATTCAGTTCCTCTCTGCTTTTATGTGTGGTTACAGGATCAATGGGTCAGGAGGCGCAGAGATTGCCTAGGGAAGGTCACATGAGGCCGTGTGATTGAAGTCATGGCATGCAGAGGTCACCTGGGGGAGAGGTGACCCTAGTTGGGGGGGCGGGTGTCATGTGAGGCGGCTGTCTGTCTTTGGTGACGTGGTCGGTGCGGTCGCTGGTGGTTGCTCAATTGATCTGAGTCCTTACGGGCTCCTAGGCTGGTTCTGATTTGATACGTTTGTAGATTGATACCCGTTCATTGAATGGACTGATAGTCCTGGAGAAGATCTACCCATGTGGTCGCCCACTTGATAGCACATAATCCAAAAAAATGTCCAGCAGGAGCCATGGGCCTTCTGTGCTACTTGGCTAATTGAGGCAGGACTGGGGCTTCTTTGGGGGTCAAGCAAGGGAATCGGTTTCATGCACCTTGAATGCCAGTCAGTCAGTTCTCCAGATGTGAAGAGCTGCCCATACACAACGGCAACAGACACCAGCAAATCATGGGAAGACCGCTGGAGTAGAAGGATAATATAATGTTTATTTGGTTCCATGCTAAACGAAATCCCTAGTTTTAAAAGCCCAGGGGATGGGAAGCCACGGTGCTTCTGTGCTGCACCAAGGCGTCTGAGATCAGCTTCATGCGGGTGAAGACCTCTTCCCAGCTGGCGGATTTGACTTCCTGCAGAGATTCCCGCACTCGTGGAAAGGCCTACACAAAGAGAGACGCCTGGATCAGTCCACCTAGGCAGGGGAGAAAGCCTCCCCCAAAGTGAAGGCAAGTCGTAGCGTTTTTGTAGGATCTCACCGTGTTCCTTTCTGGAAACAGGGTGGAAGGCGTGCTTTTATCTCCGTGAATAAGTTGGAAGGAGCCTCGTCCAACCCTCTACTCAAGCAAGAGGCCTTGTGCCATTGCAAATCGCCATCCAGGTTTTCCTTAAAAACCTCCATTATTGGAGCAGACACATTATTCTGGCGTCAAGGTGCTGCACTGACTCACTATTCTGACTACCAGGAAATTTCTCCAGAGCTCTAGATTGCGTCTCTCCTTGATTAGTTTCCACCCTCAGGGAGATCCTTATTCATCCAGGTCATGGTTGTCCTAGAGGTGCTTTTTCCAAGAGACAACTGGATTGTCTGGTTTTTCTTTGAAGACGTTTGAAGAGTTGAAGAAGCTTCTTGGATGAGAAGCGAAACATCTTCAAAGAAAAACCAGAAAGTTCAGTTGTCCCTTGAAAAAATGCATTTCTGGGGCTTCAGCTGCTTTGGAGAATAGCTGCCCCCCCTCTTCTTCTTTGGGGCAGCCCCTCCAATATTGGAGGACCGCTATCATGTCACCCTCAGTCCTCCTTTTGCAGATGCACTGCTCAGTGGTGCTGAATCAGGCGGGACGGTGCGGATACCCTGGCAGAGAAGCCGTGCTCTGAGGGGAGGGGGCTGCTCCTTCACAGCTAGCCCAAGGCAAAGGCCCCTGATGTGGCTTCTGCACTGGTCTGGCTGGGGTCAGAGCCACACACCTTGCGGGAGGCTGTGGCTACTGCCAAGCGTCTTGCTGAAGCCTAATTCCCACCCCCCACCCTCCCATTCCCACTGACGGGGTAGGAAGCTCCATCTGGCCTCATGCCCCATAGCTGTGGAGGAGGGAGCCAGCAGGCTGCGGGTGCGGGGGAGGCAGAGGGTGAAAGCCAGCAGGGCTCTGGCAGGGGGTCTCCAAACTAGGACCCTACCAGGCAAGATCCCAAGAGCCAGCAGAGCCCGGGAGCTGCACCTGTCTGTCTTACCTGCTGGCACCAAGCCTGGCACAAAAGCTTCTCATGCTGAGCAGTGGGCTGGCCCAGGGAGAGGGCGCGGCTGGCCCTGGAAGGGGGCACGGGTAAGGCTGGCTTTGCAGACACCTGCTTCCCATCCCACCCCACCTCCTTCCTCCTACCTGGATAAAGCCACGGCCATGGCATAGGTGTCTATGGCAGCGTCTGCCACGCGCCTCAGGTGGAACTGCTTGTCTGGGGAGAATCCGGGAAGGGCAGGTCAGGCTCCCGGGTAGCCCTCACCCACCACCTCCTACAGCTTCCTCTGCAGCAACTCTTGGGGCTGCTGCGGGTCCCGCAGAACGTCCGTCCCCCATTTCCACTGTGGAAACACCTGTCTCTTTGGCTCGGCTGGGGCAATTCCATGTCCCCCCGAGAGAATCGGGCTGGCCCAGGTCTCCCTGCAGCTCTGGCCCTGAGCTCCCTTAGAGGCCCCTGGGTGCCATAAAGGAGTGGGTGCCACAATGGGTACCCAGGATGCCTGGCAGACCCGCTCGCCTCAGAGCCTGTACCCGTCACTGCTGCGCCATACTTCAAGAGCAGGCTCTCGATGGTCTCTCCAAACAGCTCCACAGCTCTGGTGACCTTGCGGGGGAGGAGACAAATGGGGGGGGGATGGGGGGACTTCAGCTGAATGTGGCCCCATGGATCATAAAGGGAGGGACCCCTCCCCCCTTTCTTGCTCAGCTCTACTTCTTGCGTCAGCTGCTGAGCCTCAGGCCCAGGGGGGCGGCTGTGGGGAGGGGACGGGCATCGCCGGCTTCCCCCAGGGGAAGAGGAGGGGCGTAGGAAGGCCATCTTGGCTGCTTTCCTGGGGACAGCCAGGAGCCACCCCAGGAGGAGGACAGCTTCTCTTCTAACTGGGGTTCTTGGGAAGGGGGTCCACTGGGAACAGGGTTGGAGGAGACTCCGTCCAGAAGGGCCCGGGGTATCCCTGGACGAGGCCCCTCAGCCTCTGGCCAGAAGGCTTCTTGGGCGCCTGGAGCAGGGAAGTCTACTTGGCTGCCAACGGGCAAGTATGCCCCGAGGAAGCTGCCCGCCCTGTTGGGCCTCGGCCGGGTCTCTCACCAGAGCAGCACAGTCTTCCAGTTCCGGGTGGACGAGGCCCTGCAGCGTCTGCCCAGTGGGGACCCCGACTTTGCTGCAGGAGAGGAAGACAGTGGGGCACCTGCTGAATAGGGGCGTGGCACCAGCGGGGAGGGGGTCAGCAGCAGGCCTTGGAAGTCCTGGGGGGAAGGGGAGGATCTTGAGGGTGGCTGTTGGGGAATGGAGGCGCCTCCTCAGACCCCACTTTCCTCCAGAGGGTGGGGGGCAGCCTCACCGTTTCGCTCGCATCACCACTTCCTTGTAGATGGATCCCAGGTGCAGCAGGGGGTCGGAGAGGTCCTTGCGCAGGCCGCTCAGGGTGCGCCCGGCATACTGAGAGCAGACAGCAGGTTCTGTCCTGGGGCAGTTTCCCCAATCTCCCCACCCCCCACCCCACATGCACACACACTTCAGGGCATGGGGTGGCCGTGTTCCAAGGAGATGGATGCCGTAGCCCAGCAAGCGGGCAGGGACGAGAGCGTGCTTTCCCAGGCACCCAGGCAACGGGGGAGGGGGCCTCTCTGCCAGGGCTGGTAAAGGGGAGGCTGCTGCTCGAGGGCCTCTGATGGGGGGGGGGAGTAGTTGGCTGTGCAAACAGCAAAGGAGCAGAAAGGCTTTTGCTAGCTCAGCCTTGGGGAGGGCAAAGAGACAGGATGGCTCTGAAGGGGCTCTCTCTCCGTTACAGCCCCTCCCCCCTCCAGAGCCACACAGAAGCGCTTCTCATGGAGGGCGCTGCTTGTCCTGGGTGGGCTGCCCACGAGGACCACGCTGGCCTCCAAAGATGGCCTGACTTGCCTCCATGCCCGACAGAGCCACGAACAAGCGGAGAATCTCGTTGGTGCCCTCGAAAATGCGGAAGATCCTCAGGTCGCGCAGGACTTTCTCCAGGCCGCTCTCCTGCCCAGGGAAAGCAGCAGCCTGCAGGGGGTCCTGCTGGGCCCCAAGCCGGCCTGGGCGGAGCCAGTCGTGTCCTGACCCAGGAGACCCCACCCAGCCCAGAGGGGACTTACCTTCATGTACCCCATCCCACCCAGGATCTGGATGCCTTCGTCGGCCACAGTCCAGGCTGCCTCCTGGGGACACCAACAGCAAGGCTGACTGCCCCCCCAAGGCTCCCCCGCAGGGTCCCCAACCATGGCTGCAAGAGGCTCTGCGGCTGCAGCTGAAGTCCGGCAGACCAGCCACAGAGATCTGGCCGGAGCCAGCTGGGGCCTCTTGGCCCAGAGGGTGCTCCACTTAGGCAGCGGGGTGCCAATGGCCAGCCGCCTTGCCCCACTTCCCTCCACCCGCTGGGACCAGGGCAAGGTCTGCACAGGCACTACTCAACCCACCCCCCCGGAAAGTAGGGCTGCCCCCCACCGGACCCACTTACGGAGGCAAAGATCTTGCTGATGGCCGCCTCCAGCTTGTAGTCGGGCAACTTCATGTCCATGTTAGCACTCAGCATGTAGGCCATGGCCTGCAAGGGGCAGGGCAGGGCTGGGTAGCTTCACACCTGGGCCCTGCCCTCTGAGGGGGATGCGCCACCCCTGGGGATGCCTGTGACGGCCACCTGAAGCCCACCTTGCAGGCGGCTTTATATCGACCGAGGGAGCATGGGGGATGGAGCTCAGGATTGATGGGGAGCTCTCTAGAGGAGGCTGGCCAGCCGCACTCACTTCGGTCACGTAGAGCAACATGGCCATGTGTGCCAGTTTCTCCTGAATGGCCCCAAAGCGGCCGATGGATTTGCCAAACTGCTGCCGGTCTGCCGCGTGATCCACCTGTGCAGACCCAGAGTAAGGAGTAGGGATGGAGCCCCCTCGGCCCAGGGGAGGGCCCCCCACCGCAGGCACCACGGCCTCCATGCCCGCATACCGCCTTGAGGAGGACTCCGCGCATGGTGCCAGCCATTGCCGCAGCCATGCCGAAGCGGCCGTTGTTCAGGATGTGCATGGCCACCTGGAAGCCTTTGCCGAGCCCCCCCAGCAGGTTCTCTGCGGGCACCTTCACGTCCTCAAAGTGCACCTCGGCCGTGTTGGAGCACTGGATGCCCATCTTCTGCTCCGGAGGGCCACTGCAGGGCATGGGCACAGAGGGAACAGGGCAGATCGCAGCTGCCCGTCAGAGCCGGATCCGCTGGGCGGCCCTCCCTCTCCTTCAGTTGGAGCCCCCTCCCACGCCGGAGGGGACGGTGATGAGCTTCAGAAGGGATGAGGGAGGGGAAGGATGGCCGCTGGTGGCATTGACGGCCCTCGCTCTCACAAGGCCCCCTTGATTCACCTGCTCACCCCCCCAAAGGCTCGCTCCACGATGAAGGCCGACATCTTGTCTGTTTCTTCCCCTGTGGTGATGTTCTTGATGCGAGTCTTTGCGAACACCGTGAACACCTCGGCCGTGCCCCCATTGCTGGAAGGGAAGTGAGGTGGACCAGGCTAGTGGCCGGCCACCAGCCGTGGAGCCCAGCACTACAGCTTGGGAACCACCCGTGCCATGGAGGCCCCTGCCCAACTTCTCACCTGATCCAGATCTTGCTCCCGTTGAGCGTGTAGAAGCCCCCGCAGGGGCTGAGCTCAGCCACTGTCTGGATGGAGGCTGCGTCTGAGCCGCTGGAGGGTTCGGTCAGGCAAAAGGCTGCATAGGCCTCACCTGGGATGAGAGAGGGGAGCCCAGACTTCCTTGGAGACAGCGGCAGCCTTGCCAGGGGCCGTCACTTCCTACACCCCAAAAGCAGCCCTCCCCACCCTCCTTCCACCTGGACCTCTCCAGCCTTCAGGAGGCTAGTTCTCGCGTCCATCCAGGGGAACAAGAGCCCAGACCCGGAAGATGTTCCAGGCACGTACAGGCATCTCGTGTGTTGAGATCTGGGGCCACTCCTGCCCCTCCCTGCTCAGCTCATGCCAGGCCCAGCTGTCCCTCCGCCTGGCCCCTTTGCTAGGGGAGCCCCTCGCTCAGCCACTGGGTTCGAGGGCGGCACTCGGCCTACCAGATGCTAGCCTGGGGAGGTATTTTTCCTTTTGGCTCTTGTTTCCAAAGAGGAGGATGCCCTTGAAGCCAATGGACTGGTGGGCACCAAGGGCGATGGCCACGCCGAGATCATGCATCCCAACCACTTCCACCATGCGAGCGTACTAGAGGAGGAAAGGCGCCGCCATCAGGAGGAGGCTGCAGGTGGCCACATCAGGGCCCCCCCACCCTCCCTTCCCCTCCCTCCACCAGTGACCTTGCGGGCTCTCTGAGCTTGGCTGCCTCTGACTAAGGAAGGCCTTGGGTGCTGAAACAGGGAGAGGCCTTTGCTCTCTGCCCGGGTGGGTGGGGTGCGGCTGTTTCCTCCTGGGGGGGGGGGGGGGCGTTCCTTGAACCGCCTGGAAAAAAGCCCCTTCCACAGAGGCAGTCAGGGCCCCCACCCCCGGCTGAACCCCCTGCCACAGGCCCCGCGGATGGAGCTCCAGGCGGATGGACAGGCCGTGAGAGGTGCCTCAGCCTAGGTGGGAACTGCCCAGGCTGACCTGACAAGCCCTCAGGTAGGCCTCGACTGATGGCCGTTCTTCTTAGTGACCGTTCAGAGTTACAGCAGCACTGAAAAACACTGACTTACGACCACTCTTCGCTCTTACAACTGTGGCAGCATCCCCATGGGGTCACGGGATCAGGATCCAGAGGCTTGGCCTGTATTTATGATGGTCGCGGTGACCCCCCCCTTTTTTTTGCCTCCTCACAAGCAAGGTCAACTGGGAAGCCAGATCCACTTAATGACATTTACTTACCACTGCAGCTATTCACTTAAAATTCGTGGCAAGAAAGGTCATCCTTAACCACCATCTTGCTTAGCAACGATTGAGCTGAATTGTGGTCTTAAGTCAAGGCCCACCTGTATTCTTGACTGTGAGCAGAGAGCCAAGCTGGCTCCCTCCCAGCGCAAGGAAGCGGCCGAGCCCAGAGAGTGCCAAGGAGGCCCCACTGCCCCCTCCGCCCCTAGAACAGCCCTGAGCTGCCCAGAAGTTTTTCTCTTGGTCCCACACACACACACACACACCCAGCAGCCATAGGGGGAGGGCCCCCACCAGCCTTTCCACCCTCGGCCGCTGGCCCAGGAACCCAGGAGCCATGATGAGGGACCCTCCCTCTGGGGCAGCAGAACCACCTTTGCCAATCTGGCATGGGAGGCGGACGATGCCCCCAACCCTCTGCGGTGGCTCTGGCCCCGTGTCTGGGGGGCGGGGAGGGACAAGGAGGACCCCCTGCTTCCCTCCAGGAGCCTCCCGAGAGCCTTACCTGGGTGTTGGTCAGACCGATGCCCCCCAGCTCCTCCGGCACCTGCAGCCCAAAGCAGCCCATCGACTTCAGGCCCTCCACGGTCTCCTCTTCGATGCTGCCCAGCTCTTCGTTGGCAGCCGCGTCATTGACTTCCTGCCAGTGTTCAGATACAGAAATGGAGCCAGCACAACCCTCCTACCAGGACTTTCTCTCTTGGGGGGCGGGGGCCCCTCCGGAGGAGAGGAACCTCCGTTGGCCTTACCTCAAAGAAGCGGGTGCAGGGATCCACCATGGCTTGCAAGAGCTGGGCCTGCTCCGGCGAAAGAGCTGAGGGCAATGGAGAGGCTGCCAGGACAGGAGGTTCACTGCCAACCCCGAGCACCCAGGGGCTGGTCAGCGGTCCTGCCTGGCAACAGCCTTCGGACCCTCCTCTGTACCCTGACCCTACCTACCTGCGGGGAAAGGAAGGAGGCTTTTAGGCTCCAGCTGTCCGTTGAATAGGTTTTCCACAAACGACGTTGATTCCTAGGGGCAAACGCTCCTGTTTGGCCCGGCCTGCAGGCGGCTGACCCTGCGCTCCCTGCCACCCACGCATTGAAGTTCAGGAGCCTGACCTAATGGGGAGCACAGAGCACGCCCCCCTCCCCCTCTGGTAGCTGCCGCCCTGGACCATTCGGCCCCCTGGGGGCTGCCTGAATCCTCCCCTCGGTTGGGCTCACTGGGCAGCTGCTTCCGTGCTGGGAAGGAAGCTGGCAGGTGCAGACCGAGTCTTCCCATGCGGCTCTGCCTCTACCAGGGCCCTGAAGCCTTCCCAGCCCCCCCACCTGAGAGGGCGCCAGAGGCTGGTTGCCCCGGTCTCCCTTCAGATGGGGCTTCCGTGTCCAGGTGGGCAAAGCCACTTCTAGAGGAGATACTGTTGGCAGGTCTTCCTTACCGTCTTGATGTTTCTAGAGTACCTTACTTTCTGGTCAGTCACAAAATAAGAAGGAGACAGCGCCCTGTGAAAGGTGGCGCCATCAGTCACGGAAGGTGGGGATGGGCCTCTGCCACCCCCTTGAATTTCTCAGAGCTTAGGGTGTCGATCTGGCAGGGTTGGCACAAGGCCACCTATGGAGCCCAGGGAGCCCAGCAGTGCCTGGAGAGTGGTTCCCCCAGAGACCCGGATCACCCCCAAAGGGCCCCAAAGCGGGGGCTCTCCACTGGGCCCTTTCTTCCTCCATGGTCCCCTAGGGGCATCTTTGTGGAGATTCACTTTGGCTCCCATCTTCCTTGGTTTTATTCACATGAAGCCCCGATAAGCCAGGCCCAGATGTTGTGTGTACCCGGGCTCCCATTTGTTTTGCAGGGTGTGCCCTTGGAACAAATTTCAGGGCAGAAATTACTGAGCCATGGCTGCTTCTGTAGGCCGGACTCTGCCTCCCCTCCAGGGCTGATGAAGGGGGCTATTCCACCAGCCATGGCCTTCCCACGACCCCTCCTGCCAAGCCTGGCCAGCCTTGCAGTGTGGTCCTTTTCCCTGGCAGCGCTCCCATTCCTTTGTTGGCAGGGCCTAGGGGGTCTTTCTTAAGGGCAGGGGCACATGCTCCCAATCCGCTCTGGCTGCACGCCTGAACACAAAAGTTGGCCCATCGAAGGTCTCCAGGCCACGGGGCTGCCTCCTGGTCTCCTTTGCTGGCTCACATCCCGCTCTGCCCCTACCAAACAAAGCCCCAGCCAGAGGAGAGCCCTGTCGTCCTGTGGGGCAGAGGGTCAGCAGTCCTGTAGCATCTTCCTGACCAAGAGGTGTGCTAAAGGCACCTGGTGATCAGGGATTGGGCTGCTCCATGGCGGCCGAGCTGTAGTACCTGAGCCTGGACTTGGCCATCGACTTGCTCCACAGCTGCCTCCACCTGTCCAAGGTTGCTCTGCTCTGCATCAGCCGCATCATCCTCCCTGCTCTGCTGCAAGAAGCCCAGGTAGGTTGCTGCCGGGGGGGGGGGGGGGGGGAAGAAGCCCCAGGCCAGTGGGCCTCTCTGCAGAGTTTCCCCCTCCAACTGCCCCCTTCCCGGGTTACCCTCTGCAGCCCTGAAGGGGGCAGCTGACCCCCCCCTCTCCCCCACGGCAGCAGCGGCAGCAACCTCTGTGAGGCCGCCGACTGTCCGCCCTTCAAGGCAGAGCAGATCAGGAAGGGGACTCCTCAGACCGGACAATGGAAAGACACCTTATGGGGAGGGTCTGCCCACAGTGGTTCTCTTCTCCTTATGGGGGTGCTTCACCCATAAACAGATCCCAGGCCCCTTCTCTGAGGTCCTCACAGCAACGCGGCCTGAACTCACTCAGGAGGAAAAGCAGCAGCCCTCGTGGGCTCCGACCTGCCTGTGGAGCAGGCTACCTTCCGCAGTGTGACATCACTGGGCCCTGTGGGATGGAGTTCTGTGACGTCATGCGGAACTGGGCCCAGAACCTCCCTGGCCGGACGAGGCCTTTCATGGAAAGGGAAACGTGGGCTGTGCTCCCCTGTGCTGAGAAGCTGTTACTGGGGGTCCCGAAGGAGAAAGGAGGCGAGGTAGGGGGGAGCGGGGGCTCCCAGGAGGAGGCCAGGCAGTGGTGGGAAGGCATCCTGAACCAAGGTCGGGGCTCCCCTCCCCACCTCTCCAGAGCACCCAGAAGCTCTTGCCTCTTACGGAGGCCTTTAAAACCCTCCCCCACTGCAGCCTTTTCTGCCTGGGGCTCTGCTCAATCTCCCCCACTGGGAAGGAGACCAGAGAGACAAGCGACCTGCAGTTTGATCGTCAGGTTCCTTCCGAATGATCCTCGGCTCAAAAATTTGCCTTTTTCACAAAAACGGCATCCGGGATCCGCATTTCAGAGCGGAGCAGCAACCCCCAAGGGGGCAGGAGGGTGCGAGTGTCTAGTCGAGGAAAAAGGCACAACCACTATGTTGAGTTTGCCTTCTTCTTTGGGAGGTGGTCCTCCAAGCAAGGACAGCTCGGCCCCCGTTTGGCCCCTGCCCAGCACAGCTGCGGGGAAGCCTGGCAAGAGCACCAGGCCTGGGGTGACGAGATCGCCAGAGCCGTGAGGAATGGGGAATCTGGTTCCCCCGCCCCAAACCCCACCTGCGATCCCCAAGTGGCGGTGGGTGTCAGGCCAGGCCACGGGAGCCGCCCGCCCTCCTGAATGGAAAAAGCAGGGCGCAGAAGGGCGTCCTCCAGGCTCTCAGGTTGCCCTTTGCCATTTGGTGCCCTGCCAGGCACCTGCCTCATGCCCCCCCCATTGGAGCGGAGAGAGGTTGGCGGGCTGGGGCCAGCCTGACCCACGGCCAGAGGAAAGACGGCAGGGCCGGCTCATCCCAAGTTATAGTTGTATCCTGCCTTCTATGTACTTCCTTCCATTTTCGGCAAGCAGAAGCTTCAACTCAGCAGCTTCAACCCTCTTGGCCTGGCAGGCGTGGGCACCCTCCATTTCTCCACTGATTGACCCAACTCGGCTGCCAGGAAGAGCCAGCAGGGCCTCACTGTACTCGAACTGTTGTTGGTGCATTACAGGAGGAAGATGGGTCTTCTTGGATCCCAGGGCAGTCACCTCGGCTACTAAACGCTCCAGATGGGTCCCATTTCTTTGCAGAAGCCCCTGGTAGAGCAACTGCAGGCCAGTAATCTTAAACCAATGTCCACCCTGCTGGGCTGACATCCAGGCAGCCTGAATCTCCTCCCTGGGAGCCTCCAGCAGTCTCTCCCCCTCCCTCCCTCCCTCTCTCCCTCCCTCCCCTCTTTGCAGAGCATTCCTCATCCATCGGCTGCCTTTTCCTGGCCTCCGTAAAATAACTTGGCCTTTCTGGCACTGCTCCTGCCATCCCTCCCCCAAACTGGTGTAGAGGCCAGAGCGGAGCAGGCTGATGGGTGCTGGGAACACAGAGAAGGGGCAGACCTCAGGGAGAGCCGGGAGTGTGGGCCATCTCCTTTAGGCAGAAAGGAATAAAACCAAAGTGAGCTGGACTTATGGACAGATGGATGTACCTACCACCTCGAGGAGGGGGGTGACTCTTGGGAGGAGGGTGAGCAGCAAAGCCAGGGACCCACCTGCCCTTCACCCGCCCTGTGCTGTCCAGCCAGTGTATGGGAATTGGATAGTTAGTTAGCAATTGGGAGCTGTCCCCTTAAGGGAATGCATCATGGTAAATGTAGTTAAGGCATCCTGGGAAATGTAGTCCATGTCACGAGACCACATCTGTAATTCTCATTGGTCACTAAATTGACCCTCGATGGGTTGGGGGAGGTTTCCTCACTCTTGGCTGAACTCATGGACTCGTGGTAACTGCTCTACTTCTACCGCTACAAGATGGGAAAAAAGGGATACGGAGATAACCATCTTTTTACCTACAAGACAGATATGCAGAGGATTGTTCATTAAAAAACTTTGTCACAAATGTGAGTTATGAGGATACCCGATGAACCAATAATAAAGACTTTGTACGAAGGTTCTGTTGAGTTTATCTACCTGCATCTATACAGAAGACAAAATCTACCACTGTACAGAATACAGAATACGCCCTGCCTGGCAGAGGAGGGAGGGGTACGTGGCAGCAAAGGCTTTGCCAGGGTAGATCAAGGCCTGAGGAGGGCGCTGTAACCTGGGTGCAAAATGAAATGGGCTGGGAAGTGCCCTGAGCCCCCAGCAAAGTCTTCGGGCAAAATGGCAGCTGCAGAGATCAAGATGGGGGGGGCAGTGAGAAGCCCCCCCCCCCATGAAATATTCCCACCCCCATAAAGGAAGTGGGTCTGAAATGCTGTCCCCACCCCAGAGAGGCGGCCAGCAAGGGTCTTTGGCCAGCTCCTCCCTCCCAGCTGTGGGAAGGCAGCGGCGGGGCAGCGGGGAAGGCTAGGCCCAAAACTTCCACCAAGGACACTGCGGGGGGGGGGGTGTCCGGAAAGTCATGGGGGTCCAGCCTTGACCAGACCCTTTGGAGATGGCGTCAGGGGACAGCCCTGGGTCCCCTCAGGCAACGTGGCGGGAGGCCCTGAAGGTCTTTTAGGGCCTGAGCAGGACCAGCAGGGACCCTCTCCCTCCCCAGGGAAGATGGGGGGGTGCCATTGCTGCCGCTGCCTGAGGGAAACACTTTGGCCTTGGGGGTTTATGGCCTTTCCTTGGCAGTAAGCTGGCTGGGGTCTCCTAGCAACAGCACAGCCAGCAGCACCCTGGGGAGGTGCAGACCCCAGGGTGGCCGCTATGGAAGGGAGGGGCTTCCTCTGCCCCCCCTTCCCCCATCCCGAGCTGGTGAGGGGAGGCCCAGTTTGGGCCAACTCAGAGGAGGATGAGGAAGGATGTGAGAAGAGTTATGCTTGCCTTCCCGCAGGACGATGCCAACCAGGGAGCAAGACTGGGCCATGAGGCGCCATTCGTACAGCTGGATTCACCCTACGGAAGTAACCCTCCGCTGACTCCGCGGGGGCTGCCGGAGTAACTCAGCTGGTCGCATTATGCCAACAGAGCCCCCAGCTAGGTCAGGTTATGACCCCCCCCTCGGGTGCCAAGAGAGCAAAGACACCCCTGTTGAAGCTGAGCCCCCAGCGAGGCGCAAGAGGAGTCTGGGCTCCCCAGTGGCCCTGCTGGCTCTGGTGCCACCTGCCCTGGGCGGTTGGCTGCCTGGAAAGGGCTCCCAAGAGCGCCCCCTGGTGGAAAAAGGAAGCCAAGTTTCACCCTAGAGCAGGTTTGGGCCTTTCCTGGAGCTCGTCTTTGCCCAGCAGGCCTGGCCAGGTCAGAACACCAGGCTCAGGTAGTGCCAATCCTGGCCAGTTCGTGGTTCATCGTTCTGTGTGAACTAAGAGACTGTGTTACATTCAACGCTTTGAAGGATGCAATCGAGAGTGTGGAGAACACAACTGCTCCACCTACAAGAGAGAATTTCTGACCAGTGACGTATCTCTCCAACGTAAGGGAACTTTAAAAGGGCACGGTTGGCATCACAGCATGGGCAGAGTGCTCCCCGATCCAAGAAAACCGTTGAAATAGGTGCTGCGCTGAGGGTCCAGCAAGGAGGGGGGAAGGGCAAACATTAAGCCAAGTGTAATTGAATCTAAAAATTGAGTTTAATTAAAATCAGTTGAAATTACATATACAGCTTGGACCACCTACGCAAGGCGCACTGTCTGCAGGCGACCTGGTCCCACCACAGCTTCCCCCCACGATGTTTCCAGCCATGGGGACTCCCTTCTTCAAGCAAGGCCGGATGGTGTTCGGGGTTCAAGGGTGAACCAGGGAAATGAGGGTTTGCAACATCTTCTAGAAGGTCCCTGCCAACTCTACTATTCTGTTAAAGTGTGTGTCTCCCCCCTTCCCCTCCCCTGGCCTCTCAGTACCTGCCTCTGTCTTACGACCCTTTCAGCCACACTGATTAAGAGAGATTGTCTCAATGGATTTAGGATTTTTTCCCCTTCACCTGGCTAACTCGGCTACCAGGATTGCTTTTAATTCACCTGGACGTGATTCTGCCGACGGCTTCTCCGCTTGACCCGGGGCTGCCTAGCTGACAAAAAGCCAGTCGGCCAGGGCAGTGGGCAGGTGGGTTGCGGCCTGCAGGCGGAGCCACCAGGAGGCCTCCATGGGCATGTAGCGGCTGCAGGGGTGACGCGCAGCAAGGGCTTCCGTCAGGGCGTCCAGGACTGGGGAGACGTCCCGCAGGCCGCTGTGCGCAAAGCCCTTCATTCGAGAGAGCTTCTCCTGGAAGTCGGCCTCTCCGTAATCTGCCCGGATGGCCTCGCTGGCCCCACGCCACATGCGCTCGGCCTCGGCCTCGATGCCTTCGGGGGTCAGGATCCCTGTGGCTGCGATGAAGTTGCTCGGCTCAATGGCCACCACCGAGACGCCCCAGCGGTACATCTCCTGCCGCAGGCAGTTGCTGAAGGCCTCCAGTCCAAACTTGGAGATGCAGTAGGAGGAGCGCATCGGCCTGGCCATCCGGCCCAGCATGCTGCTCATGTTGACAATCCGCCCTGCAGGAGAGCAGAGACCAGAACTGCTCTGGGGATATGTGTGTGTGTGTGAGAGAGAGAGAGACATCAGTGGGAGAGAGCAGGAGGGAGGGAGGGGAGCAGGGAACCACTCAGGCCACCCAGCTCAGGGTCTGGCCTTGGTCACAACTCTCCAGAGGCTCCACCAGTGTTGCTCTCTGAAGACCTCCTTTCCCACTGGGACACAGTCATGCCGCTTCCAGAGGAGGCTGCTTGCTCAGTGTCTCACTCACTTTTTGGATCTGGTGGACTGGCGGGCCTCCTGCTTTCCCCTCCCGCTTCCTCCTCTCTCCGTGCCTGCAGGTCTTTCCTCTGGCCGCCTCCCTCCCCACTTCTTGCACAAGGCATTGCTAGTATGCCAGTGTTACGCAGGAGAGCCAAACTCTTGCACACGTGCTCTGCGTAACTGCTGACCCCTCTGCGTTGGCAGTCTGAATGCGCATGAGAACAGAGCCAGCCAGGACATTGGGTGAGCCTTGCTGGACACCCGGCTGGTGCAGGGGGAACTCTGCTGCCCGTCCACTGTGCCCACTCCTGGGCAAGATGCTTTGCCCACAGGCCGGTGGCCCCCAACCCCTCTGGACCCTCTTCCCTACCTCTGGCCCTGCGGATCAGGGGCAGAAAAGCCTTTGTCACCCGCAGGGTCCCCCATAAGTTGACGTCCGCCACTCTCTGGTACTTCTCCATGCTGGTGAATTCCACGTCTCCAAAGGAGGCAATTCCAGCGTTGTTCACCAAGCCCCACAGACCTGCCCCGCAAGAGAGGAGACTCTTTCTGAGGGATCGCGAGTGCAGCGCAGGCAGCCTCCTCCCCTTCCCGAGGAAGCCCATCTCTCCAGCCACAGGAACCGACCTGTCCAGAAAGGCGAGAGACTCACCTTCGGTGGCACCAGTGGCCAAAGAGCTGGGCGCAGCCAAACGGGCCTAGGGAAACGCAAGTGACCCATGCATGGAGCCCAGTTCGGCCCCTGCCGCTGCCCGCGGGGGAGCATGGTAAGATGCCCTCGTCTGCCGGGAGCAGCCGCCCCTTGGGGAGATGGGAGGAAGGGCCTGGGTGATTACCTTGGGCAGGGTCCTCCAGCTGCGCCTCCACGTATCGGAGGGCTCGGGCCACCTGCTGTTCGCAGCACACATCCAGCTGGAGGACGTGCATCCGCCCAGAGCCCAGGCGGCACAGTTCTTGGGCACCATCTCCTCCTTGGTCCTGCCCGCCAGACAGGGAGAGAAGCCATTAAGGTGGGGAGGGGCTCCCGAGGGCAAGCATGGCCCTGTTGGGGCTGATGGGACTTGCCGGCCTCCCTCTCCCTCTCCGGCTCCCAGAGGAAACCCGAAAGCCTCCCGCGGGCGATGCCAGCTCAGGGAAGGGACCGGTTCCTCACCAGGAGCAAACAGCCCGCAAAGACGGTGAAGCCTTTTGCATGGAGATGACTGGCCAAGGCATGGCCGAAGCCCTTGTCGCAGCCTGTGATCAGCACCGCCTTCCCCTCGGCCTGCAGGAGGAGGGCAAGAGGAGGGAGCAGCCTCAGAGGCGCCCAGGGCTGCCCAGCAATGAAGCATCCGAGGGCCAGGGGAAGAAGTTCCGGCGGAAGCTCAGGCCAGAGATCATCCGGGAAGGAGACCAGCGCCATCTCGGTCCCGTATCCGGGCCTGCAGCCCGACTGAAAGGGGTCCAGACAGCCTGTTCCCCACAGGATTCCTTAGAAAGGGGGTGGGGCTAGGCATGGAGGTGACCCGAGGGCACGGCAGGGACCTGTCCCCTCCGCGAGGCGTCTGCACCGACGCTCCCACCCTGGCCAGCTTGCTCTTCCAGCAGACATGGGGAGGCGGGTCCGGCCTCAACTGGCATCCAGGCTGAAAAGCAGGTTCTGCGAGAGCTCAGCGGGCACGTGGCACCTCAAGGTCAGGCAGAGGGAGTGCCAAGAGCAAGGGAGGCCGGAGAGGGAAAGAGTGAGTCAGCGGGGAAAGTCCTCTGGGACAGCCCCCTCACCCCCGGCTCCCAGTGTCCGTCCTCCAGATCCAGCCAGGCCAGGGGGGGTGTCTCCCCTTCTTAGGACCCCAGAAGGGTCCTTGGGGAGGAGAGTCCTCGCTCCCTGTCCTCTCCTGCCCTTGGCAAACAGGCCAGCTTGGCAGAGGAAGGGGCACGGCTGGGTGTCCACCTGGCTCTTGGTCATCCCCTCCCTAGGATGAAAAGCTGCCTCAGCTGACCCAGGCCCTGCCCAGGACAGGAGCTCCTTGGGCAGGGAGGGACGTGACCTTGGCCTGACTAGGCTCCACAAGGACTTTGGCCCCGCTCCTGGAAACCATTGGAGTCTGGGTGGGGAGAACGTGGCAGAGACCCAGAGCGTGGCGAGAACTCGCCAACCGTAACTGTCAAATGACACCCGTGCTTCCCAAGCTGCCCTGAGTGCCAAACGGCTCCTCCCAGGCTCTGGAGACCTTCAACCGCCCACTGGCTACAAAGAGAATCCGCCCAACCAGAGGGGGAGGGGGGGCCCTGCAGGCCATGCATCCTCCTCTTCCTCCCCTGACAAAGCCCACAGGGATCCCCTCTTGTATAATGAGCCCCCCACCCGGAACAGAAGAACCACACCCTGGGGACTCAGGTGAGAATGGAGACCCACCTGAGCAGGGAGGAGGAAGACACCAGTGATTTTTACAGCTGCATTGTGATTTCTGTTGATATATTGAGTGACTTTGGTCACTGCTAATCCTCTTAAATCCTACAACCCTACCTGAAGTCCATCCCATTCAGAATAACAGATTAACGGGTGGGAAGGGACCTCGGAGGTCTTCTAGTCCAATCCCTGCTCAGACAGGAAGCGGCTGTCCGGTCTCTTCTTGTAAATCTCCAGCGATGCAAGCCGTTCCGCTGGTCAGTTGCCGAAAGGCGCTCTCCACAGGCACCCCTCCCCCCGGCCAAGCTGCCTTATCATGGCCGGCAGGCAGCAGACCGCAGCCCCCCCCCCCCCCCCCCGGGGGCCCCCCCCCCGGGGGGGGGGGGGCAGGCTTGAGGCGCCCCGAGCCCCTCTGCCAGAAAAGAAGGGGACGCCTCTGCCGCGCATGATGGTTTCTCCGATCCTCTCCAGCAGCAATTCTCGGGCGAGGCGTCGGGGCTCCCTCTCGCTCGGCGGCCCCAGGGCGCCTTTGATTCCGGGGGACCCAGCGCCGCCCCCTCCCCTCCCCTCCCCTCCCCTCGGGCCGTTCCTCCTCGCGGGGGAGGCGGGGACTCCAAAGCAGGCCCGGGGGAGCCCCTCCCCCCGGGACTCACCGGCAGGTGCGGAGGGAGGCGGCGGCGGCGGAGCAGGAGGAGCAGGAGGAGCAGGAAGAGGAGGCCGGCGGGGAGCGTCCACATGGCGCGCGAGGGGCGGGGCGGGGGCGTCGCCGGGACGATGGTGACGTCACTTCCTCGGCCGGCGCGGAGGGGACGCGGGACGGTCAGTCGGAGGGGCGGGAGGAGCGCGCGGTAAGCGGCCTCGAGCGGCGCCCTCTTCCCCCCCCCCGCCCCGCCCCCCGGCCGCTGTCTCCGCCGGGAGGAGTGGGCCCGCGGGGCCAGGAGGGAGGCGGCTGCCTGGGCTCGGCTCGGCTCGGCGGGCGCGCGGGGGCGTCGAGGAGGCGGAGGAGGGCGCGGGGTCCCTGGGCAGGTGGGCTGCGGGGCCGCGCTCCGTCCGCTTCTGGCTCTGCGGGGCGGAGGAGGCTGAGTGGGGCTGGGGGCCTCCGCTTGGCTTGGCCGGGAGAGCCGCCTCCGGGCTCCGTCGGGGCCCAGAAGTCCCCGGGGTGCCTCCGGGCTTCTCGGTGTACCTGCCCTCCGCGGGATCAGAGCCTCTGCCGCCCTCCCGCCCCAACCCGCCCGCAGTCCCGGCCTCCTCCCGAATTCTTCCGAAGGGGTCCGGGAAGAAGAAGCCCCGAGGCTTCCCTGGCCGGGAGAGCCCTTTTCCCTGGCGGCTCCTCTCTTCCTCCCCACCCCGGAAAAGGGTGGGGGGGAGCGCTGGTGTGAAAAGCGCTAGGGCCTCCCAGCTGGTCCAACCTCTTCCTCCCCCCCCCTCAGGACGGGGTGACCTCCGGGCCCCAGGATGCGGTGGTTCCCGGAGAGGCCTCCCCTTCGCCCCTCCCTGGGAGGAAGCTCTGGCTGGCCACAGGCTTTTAGGGCAGGCTGACAATGGGCTCCAGCCCCAGGTGGGCGGCTGGTGACCCTCCTTTAAATGACCATGGAGGCAGACTGTGCCAAGCCCGAGCAGGCCCTAACGCCCGATTGGCTGGGCTCACCCCCCCACCCCCGGCCCATGAAGGGTGAAGCCTCACCAGCTTGCTTGATCCCTTTCCTGAATTCAGACACCACCATCTCTTGGGGAGGCCTGCCGAGGTCACCAAGGCAGCCAGAGATCCAAATTGAGGTAAGTGTGGCTGATGTGTGGGCAGGGACTTGGTGGGGGGAGCCTCCCTGGACCCGCCCTCAGCAAGGCCATAAAGGCTGGGGCAGATAACGCAGAGCGCCCCCCCCTCCCCTTGGCAGAGTCCGGAGGCGGCAGCAGCAGCAGCAGCAGCAGAGACACCCTTCATGGCAATCCTCTTGGCCGCCACCCGCATCGCCCAGCCTCTTGCCCGGCTGGCCCTGAACACTCCGCACTGCAAGGATGGCGCTGCCACCGGCCTGCGGTAAGTACAGAGAGCCGGCCCACTTCTGTGTTCTCCAAAGTCCTTGGCTTACCACGAACCGTTGAGTGGCCGTTTGAGGCTTCGGTGGCCCTGAAACAAACGGACCGGTCCTTGTGGTTACAGTTAGTGCCACGTCCTCATGGATCAAAATCCTCATGGGTCGGTGTGTGTTTGTGATGGGTGCTGCATCCCGCCCGGGGTCAAGGGATCACCACTCCCCGGGGGCTTCTGACGAGCAGAGTCGGTGAGGGAAGCTGGGTTCGCATAGCGACAGGATGATTCACTTAATAATATTTACTTAGTATTTGCTTGAAAACCATGACAAGGGTGTCGTAAAATCGGGCACAACTCACTTAACAACTGTCTTGCTTAGCAACCAAAATTCTGGTCCTGATAATGCTTGTACGTCAAGTGCTACCTTTTCGCTCAGAGGCCTTCAATGCTTCACCCGGTTTCATGAAGGACTGGCTTGTAAGGGAGAAATTGCTGCTGTGGCAACCGGGGAGGGGGTGGCTGGGGGTCCAGGCAGGCAGAACCGGCCTCCTTGTGAACCTCTGGTGCAGCTTGGCCTCCGACAGGGCTGCAGGCCGGAGTCCGAAAGGATCTCTTCGTTCCAAAGTCCCTCCAGATAGCGCCAGAGGGGGCTCTGCTCACCTGAGCCCCCCCCATCCCTGGGGTGGGGGGGGAACACGGCTGAATTCCCCAGACAGGAAGGCCATGGGTGCAAAGGTGAAACCTTCGCCCCTCCTGGGGAGGGGCTGGAGTGTTTGGGTAGATCCAAGTCAGAGCTGAAGAAGCTTCTTGGGTGAGAAGCGAAACATCTCAGAAGAAAACCCCCAGAAAGTCCAGTTGCCTCTTGGGGGAAAAAGCACTTCTGGGACAACCCTGACCTGCAGGATGGAGAATCTCCATGGACATCCATGCGTGGAGAGGGAGGGTCCTGCCCAGCATGGGTGGGGCAGGGGCTGAATGCTCTCATGGCTGCTGCTTAAGAGCCCCCTGGCCTTTTGGGGGGGAGGGGCTGCCTGGGGCAGCTGCCCTCTGAGCATCAGCATCCCGACCGTCGGACAGCCACGTGGCCATGTGACCTCAAGAGGCCCGGCCTCAGCGTGGCTGTTCAGTGTGGCTCAGTGTGCAAGTGGAGGGTTAGCCCAGAAGTCAACATGGCGGCCCTCGTGGCTGCGCTTCTTGAGGCCGGGGGTGAGCAGGGCCGGGGGGCTTCGGCCCTCGCAGCACCAGCAACCCGACGGCTGGGGTGAATTGTGGGGGCAGCGGGCCGGATGTGTTTCAGTCGCATGGAGGGAAGCCGCCTGCGGACGGGCTGCAGCCTCCTGGCAGCCTGGCATGTCCGGTCGGTACTTCTTGCCCGAGCATCCTCTGGGGTGGGGGTGGGCGGCCCCCTTTTGAACTTGGAGGTCCTGGAGGTGATGGCCCTGTTGCCTTAGCGGACATCCACGGTGGGAGAGAGTCGGGTCAGGAAGAGCCCAGAGAGCGGGTCCCTTTCAGCCAGAGCAAGCGGGCCCGGCCAGTCTCTTCTGCTCTGGGCTTCGGTTCCCAAAGGCCTCCCGGGTGGCAACTGTGTCCTCCTCTCTCTTGCAGTTTGCTTCCCAAGGTTCAGGCCGCGGCCTCTGCCTGGAGGAGCCAGCGCTGCTACGCCACAGAGGTGGACAAGGTGAGAGGGGTGGGCTCAGCCGCTGGGGCGGAGGAGAGGACAGCCCCACGGGGGAGGCCACGTGCCTATGGCAGGCCCCCTCCGTCTGTCCGGGGCTCCTGTGTTGGGGCCCCAGCCAAAGATCAGGCCCAGGGCCCCCCTCCGGAAGACGGAGGGGTCCTGTGATGTTCCTCCCTTGCCTGCCTCTCCTTGAGGGCCACGTTGAGGCCTTGGGACCCCCCAACCACAGGGGCGTCCTTCAGTTCGCCAAGCGCCCGCGGCCGGTGTCCGTGCGATGGCCCAGGGAGAAGGGCCCAGGGAGCCCAGCCAAGGCAGGGGGGGAGCCAGAAGCCTCGGGGTGAGGAGGCCTCCCTGAGAGGAACTGCAGGAAAGACTCTGGCCCGGCTGACCCCCATGAGCTGCAGGCAGGAGGCGCCAGTGGCTCTTTGGGTGGCCTTCAGCACCGGCTCTTGTGCGCCCCCTGCAGATCAATGAGCGACCTGTCCTCATTACCGGCTGCGACTCGGGTTTTGGCTTCTCCTTGGCCAAATTCCTCCACGAGAAAGGCTTGATCATCTACGCTGGGTGCCTGCTAAAGGTGAGGCCGGGCGAGTGGCTGCAGGCGCAGTTCAATGCCACCGGTCTCCCCGTCCCGTCCCCCCAATTCTTCTCAGGCCGGGCCCTGGAACAGGGTTGGAAGGAACCAGGGGCAGCTCGGAGTGGGTGGGCCTTCCCTAGAGAAAAGGCAGCAGGGCAGGGGAAGCGGCTCCCTCTGGAAAGGGTGTCTCGGCCTATTTGCCCTTGTTCCAGGGAGCGGGACACGGACTCCGGTTGCACACAACCATGAGCGGCGGCAGCAGCGGCGGCCCCCTTGGGTGGAGGTGGGCCCCCATCCTCCCGGCTCCTCCTGCCCTGAGCCCGGACGGGGCTACTGAGCCCTGGGGGGAGGCCGGGTGTTTCTCTCCAGCAAGAGGGGAGGGGAGGGGAAGGGCGGGCATGTCTGCCCCTCCCTGGGGGACTTGCAGGCTCCACCTTCTTTTTCCGCTGCCTCTGGAGGCTGCTGGGAGCAGGAAACGTCAGCTGCTTGGCAAAGGGCTTCTTTGCTCCCCAATCCCAGGCCCTGCGCGGCCCCTGCTGGCGGGAAGTGCAGTAGCCGCCCAGGGCTTTTCTGAATGTTCGTGGCTGGGGTGGTACGCTTTGGCAGGGGCCTGTCCTCCGAGCTTGTCCTTTGTCTGTAACTTCATTTGATGGTTACCCAGCCCTGGATTCATCCGATGGGCCTTGGGAGAAGCACCACGGGAGGCCCTGAGGGTGGCAGATTCTCCAAGCCGCACATTCGCTCTGGCAAGACGCACACCTCCTGGTCGTGGGGAGCCGTCTAGGAGCCGCCCCTTTGCCCAAAGCAGGTGGAAGAAGGGCTGGGACCAGCAGGGTGGCTGGGGGCGACCCACTGGACCTGCTGACGGGGGGTGGGCGGGGTGGGAGGCAAAGCGCCCAGAGAGACAACGCGTGGTTGCGTGACACCCTCCCACCCGGTGGGTGGGTGGATGTGGCCGTCTCCCGTTGCCCACCCTGCTGCTCCTGTTGCTTTTCTGTCAGGAACAAGGCCGGGGGGGCTCAAAGGACCTGGACAACATGAAGAGTGACCGAATGAGGACCGTCCAGCTCAACGTCTGTGACAGCGAGGAGGTGGCGCGTGCGGTGGACTACGTGACCAGCACCCTGAAGGATCCGGAGAATGGAGGTGAAGGAGGAAGGCTGCGGAGCGTGGGAATCGCAGGAGGGAGGGAGGGAGGGAGGGGAAAGCCGGGGGGCCAGTCCTCTCCCCCGTCAGCCGGGCTCAGTCCCCACGGAAGGCCAGTGGTTGCCCCGGGTCCCAGCCTGAGCACAGCTCCCCTTGGCTTCCTCCATTCCTGCACACACCTAATTCAGTCTAGGTCAGGAATTGGGGAGCTGCCAGAGGTCATATTGTGGCTCCTTGATCCCAGGATGATTTTCCAGTATGGAAGAGCCTGCAAAGTCCCCAGTTCGGAAGGCCAGAAAGAAACCAGGAAGCTGAAGGATGCGGAAGCTTTGGTGCTCTATGCTCCCCCAGAGCATCTTGTCTCCTATTTCATGGTCCAAAATGTTGGTTTTCCTCCCGTCTGGTCAGAGCCCTCAGAAGACCCTTCGGGAAGGGGGTCTCCCTGTTCCTGAGTAGCCTCTGGAGGCCTGGGCCGGCTTTTGCTTCTTTGGGCTCCTTCGGCCATCCTATGTCCTCACCCCCCCTCCCCCCCCACACACACACACTTCCCCGGTGTCTTTGCGCAGGATTGTTTAAGTGCAGCCCGACGTGCTCGGGGGCAGAGCAAGAAGCGTGGCCGGTGCAGCGGCTGCTCCTGACTCACAACCCTTGTGTGGAAAAGGAGCAGCAAATAGGCTTTTCTTCGAGTGAAGAGGTGCACCAAATAGAAAATACGGGTGGCTCTGAGCCCCAGACAAGCCTTCGTGACCCAGAGGTTTTCCATCAGGAACCCAGAAAGTTTTCCTGTTGTGGCAGCTTTGGCCAACATCCCCTCCTGGAGCGAGCAGTGGAGGATTCTGGGGGGGGGGGGTCCTCGGGGTTATGACAGGAGGAGGCAGTCTCTGTCGCTCAGGGTGGCCCTGGGGAGTCCCCGGTGGGTCAGGGCGGGTGGGGGCCTGGCCAGAAAACTATCCTAATCGAGGACCATCCTAGCCAGGATACACATACCCAAACCCCAACACAGAACTCAGGGGAGGGTGTTCCAGGTAGCAGAATGGCTTCCGGCTCCTGCCTCCCTCTCCTCTTTTTTGTTTTTAATAAAAAGTTTTTTGTTTTTTATTTTACACATCTCTTCAAGCGAGCAGCACGATTACGGGTTATAGCATTCATACATAGTCATAGTTACAATTCCAACTTTCTTATCTAATTTCGTATCAAATCATTTCTATTCCACTGATCTTTAAATAAGTTCACACTTCATATTTTCAATCCGTTAATCCAATATCAAAAGCATTTCATCCTCACATATATTTTCCACTCTTTATCCCCTATTACATTCATTTCCAGCTTGCCACCTGTTTTATTTTACACTATTTTCTTTAACTTTCTCAAAGCCGATGTATCATAAACAAACAAAAATATAAAAATAAAATAGAATTAATACATTCAGGGTCCACGTGGTATTTTCCCCCCTCACCTCTGAGGCCAGGATAACTTTGGGGTCTCCCCTGGGACCAAATCTATGGAAGAGGCCATTCTCTCGGGGGGGGGGGGGGGGGGAGTCTGTCCGGAAGTGTCCTTATAGGACCAGAAACCTTTTGCAAACCGTAAGTGCCGTGGGTGTAAGGTGTCATCCTGCTGAGCCAGTTTGGCCTTCCCAATCGGCATGCAAGCAGCTGTGTTTTGTGCCCATTGCAGGTTCTGCTAGTCCGGGAGGTTGTCTGAGTATTGCCAGAGCCTAACTTTGCTCTGGAGGGGCTCGTGGAGTGAGCCCCGGAAGAGGAGCTGCTGCTGCTGCTGCTGCTGCTGCGGAGGGACCAGCAGCCTGATGCTTCCTCAGATCTCTTGCTGGATCTCTGGACCAATGGATCACTATCAGCCCCTTGTCCCCACACAGGAAAGGGGGGATTTGAGGGCACGGTCTCCCGTGGTTTCTAGCTCTGGAGGACGCCACTGTGGCGGCTGCTTTGCCCTCCAAACGGCCCAGTGGGCTTTATAGAGAAGCGAATTCACACCATGGGGCAGAAGCTGTTCGGCAGGGTTGTTGCTGACGGGATCCGTCTCTCTCCCCTCCCCCACCCTCCCAGCTTCTCTGAGGGGGCCAGGCGGAGCCCAGTGTGGCAGAGAGGCTCCTGGGCCAAGAGAGCCGGCAAATTTTGGACAATGTCTGCCGCCGCCTCTTCATCCAACACAGGAGCCTCTGGATCTGAACCCCACCCCGAGGGGACCCAGATAATCCACCTCACTCCAGGCTCCAACAAGGAGGATCCTTCCCTAAAAATGAAAGATTGAAGACCAGGAAAGAGTTTCTGCTTTTCAGAGAGAGGGAGGGAGGGAGAGAGAGAGAGAGCAAAGGTCATTTGAGCTTCCCGCTAAAGATAGGGTTACTGACCTTTGGCCTTCCTAGAGGCAGGAATTCTCTTCCCAGAGAGAAATGCCAGCAGAGATGGCTAAGGGGACCGCTTCTTTGGCTTCCTCTCCAGGGCTCTGGGGACTGGTCAACAATGCCGGCATTTCCACCTTTGGAGAGGTGGAATTCACCAGCATGGACACCTACAAAGAAGTGGCCGAAGTGAACCTCTGGGGCACCATCCGCACCACCAAGGCCTTCCTGCCTTTGATACGGAGAGCCAAAGGTAAGCGGGGTCCAGTTGCCCCCCCTCCCTGGGACGGGTGGACGCAGAGCCCTATCACAGCCGGAGGAGGTTGGGGGTGACGGTCGCAGAAAAAGAGGTGGCGGGGAGGCCTCCTGTTTCACCCCAGCAGGGCCAGAATGGGCAGCCGCATCCAGAGGCGCCCCAGAGTTGTGAGGTCCCTGTGGGGGCAACTGCTCCCTTCACGGCGCCTTCACCCCGGCAGGCCGCGTGGTCAACATCAGCAGCATGATGGGCCGGATGGCCAACCCCGCCCGCTCCCCTTACTGCATCACCAAGTTCGGGGTGGAGGCCTTCTCCGACTGCCTGCGCTACGAGATGCGTCCACATGACGTGAAGGTCTGCATTGTGGAGCCAGGCAACTTCATCGCCGGCACCAGCCTCTACAGCCCCGAGCGCATCCAGTCCATTGCCGACAAGATGTGGGACGAGCTGCCGGAGATCGTGCGCCGCGACTACGGGCGGAAGTACTTCGACGAGCAGATCGCCAAAATGGAGTCGTACTGCAGCAGCGGCTCCTCAGATACCTCCCCGGTGGTGGAGAGCATCGGCCACGCCCTCACCTCCACCACGCCCTACACTCGCTACCACCCCATGGACTATTACTGGTGGCTGCGCATGCAGGTCATGACCCACATGCCCGCGGCCATCTCCGACCGCCTCTACATCTACTGAGGGGGTGGGTGGGGTGTTGGGGTCCCGCTGGAGCCGAACCGGCCAGGGACGGTTACGCTAAAGGTTACGCTGTCCAGTTCTCCAGCAGCCGCTTGGTTAGGTGGTTTTTAAACTCTGTATTTTAGGCCTGTGATTAATTTAAACATTGAGACATAATTTAACCCCTTGCATGGTGTGTCAGATAGGCAGGTCCAGCTCGTGTCTTTCAGGGGGACTCCGATGACGGTACTATGTCAAGTGGTCCCTTCTTGGCCAGGCTTGCATTGGCCTTAGGGGAGGCTGGTCATCTTCCTTCCTTCGGAGCTGGCCATCCCCTCCTGGAGAAAGGCTGCCTACCCAGTCCTGGGCAACCTGGGGCTTGACCTTGCTTGGGTGCAGCCTGGGGCCTGGAATCCTTTGTTGTGGCCACAGGGGAGTGGGGGGGTGGAGGGAGGGATCGCAGCAGCCAGGGGCCACATTGTCTTTGCACACTCCTTTTCAAGGGCACCATGGACCAAGTGCCGCCAAGCCCCTCTCCCTACTGGAGGAGCTTTGACCGTGCGCTCAACCCTTTGGGGGCCCTGCCCTTGCACAGAGTCCCTTCTGCAAGGGAGGGGGCAGCTTGGCCTTAAGTCAGGGGCTCCAGTCCTTTGCACTAGGCCCCAGGCCGATGGGTGGGCGGGGGGAATCGCAGGGCAGGAGGGAGGCGGCCCCAGCACCATAAGCCCACCCACAGCTCGGGAGCCACCGTGGATCACTCCAATTTGACCGTGAAGGTCATGTTCCTCTAGGCCCTTGGAAGCTAACCCTCACGCAGGGCAGTCTGAGCAGGGGGCCTGATCCAGGACGTCTCTGCCTGACGGAATGGCTTGTGGCTGTCAGTTCCTGACCGCCGCGGCTGTTGCGTCTCCAAGACGGCCTTGCCAGGAAGACCTGGCAGAGATTTGGCACACCGGTCGGTCTGTCGCCAGGGGCGGGGGTGCCTCCTGGGGGCACGGGCCTGTGGCTGCCAGCAGAGGGAGACAAGGGAGCATCACCCCCCAACCAGCAAGCGGGAGGGATGGTGACCGGATGTCCTCTCCTTTGGTGAACAACATTAAACCATGTGATATTAAACCCTCCTGAATCATTGGCCTCTTTCCTTGACCAGAGACCTGATGCCCCAGCCGCTGTGCCTGAGGCGGAGGTGGGGGCAAGGGGCGCCCTCCTGCTTGTCCCGGGGCCAGCCCTGCGCCCCTCTCCAGGGGCTCCCTTGGAGGCTAAGCAGGAAGGTGGCTGGGCAGCAGGACCCAGTGGCACCATCTCGGGCAGCTCGGGGCTTTGAGTTGGTCTGAGGTCTTTCTTCCACCCCAAGACACGCGAGGCGGGCTTTGCTCTCCCCACAGCAGCACTTTCTGGGGTTAACCTCTCCCCCCCCCCCGCACATCCAAGAAAGGGCATAGGAGGTTTTCCTTAGCTTTCTGGCTGTGCCCCTCCTCCTCCCTCTGTGGAAGACTGCCCCCTCCCCCCAGAAAGAGACTGTGCAGCCTTAGAAGCTGATGGAAGCATCTTATTCATTTGGCCTCTGATTACGTGATCCTGTTTATACGTTATGGAGACTTTAATACTGCATTGCTCCACGGCCTGCGAGGAGGGGGGTAGATGAGCCTGGGGGGGGGGGATGGAATCCTCCCTCCCTCCCTCCCTCCATGCTCGCCTGTGTTGCTTCTGCAGCTGCCCAGGCCCTTTCTGGAATAAAACACTCCAAGTCTGAAGCCCTTTGGCATAATTAAGAGCCTCTCCCTGAAATTAAACAAGGTGCAGCTGGAGAACTTGCTGGTCTCTCTCAGCAGGGTAGGAGGGATTCATCCCCCTCCCAGCAGACACCTCTTGGCTCGCAACTGGCTGGGCATTGTCCACAAGCAACTGTCCTGCCCTTCCTCGGTGGGCTTGAAGGGGGCCGTGGCCACTGTTGGGTCCCCATCCTTGTCCCCTTCCTCCCAGTAGGCCTGCGGCCACGTGCCATGCAGGCCCCCTGGGAGGATTGAGCTGATCTGTGGGGCAGGCGCCTTTTCCGGCAGGAGGCAAGGGAAGAGGGGGCAGGAGAAAGCCAGGCGGGGGGCCAGCTCTGTCTGTAACCCCCTCCTCTTGTTGCCTTCTGATCCAGGCAGGGGCGGCAGCAGCAGTTGTGGTGCCCTCCCGTGCCAACAGACCCCCTGCCAAAACGCCTGCGGGAGCTGGGGGGGTCCGGGTGATGTGGCTGAAGGTTGAGACCGGGAGTGGCCTTTCGGGGTCCAGGCTTGTGCCCAGGGAATGGCTGCTCTCTCCCCAGCTGCGTGGAGAGCGAAAGCGCCCGACAGCAGGTGCGAGCGATTCCAGCTGCTTTGAGAAAGCCTGTCACCTCCTAGGCAGGCCCCATCCCTGGGCTGCATGTCAAGGGGCCCCAGTCTTGGTTTTTTTTTTTTCCCCCTCCCGTTCTTTGGTGTAACAAGCTTCTTGCCAATATCTGGCAATATTGCACTGGCTGAGTTCACACATGACACCTAAGCAGGAAAAGACCCGGCAGCTGCACGCAGTGGACAAGCTAAGACTTCTCTAGGGTTAATCTCCCTAGATTGGATTCACTCAGTAAATTGCACAAATCCTAGCTTTTCCTTTGCACTGGATTGTGAAACCCCAGAAAATGGGTTAATTGAGAGAATGCGACTTCTAATGTGGGCATTTCCAGGATTGCAAATTGAGGCTGGACTCGAGGGGGAGGTGGGGCTGACCCCATGCCCGGATCCCCTCCGAACTCTGATTCTCGCTCTAGGCAGAGCTAAGAGGACAAAGTGGCATTTAGAATAAGAAGTAAATTTAAAATTGTACATTAACTGCTGTAAAGAAGATGGAAAGCCATTTCTTTGTATCTTTTTTCTATTTTTCTTTTACTTTCTCCCCCTTTTCTTGCACATTTAGTATTCTGATTTTTATTTTCTCATATTAGTTTTTATTAGTTTTTAATCTTCCTTCTTAAACATTTAATAAAATTATGAAAGTTTGTGCACCAGCTGAGGCCTTTCCTGGATCAGGACTCGCTGCACTCATTACCCGAGCCCTTGTACTCTCTCATCTGGACTACTGCAATGCGCTCTACCTGGGGCTGCCCTTGAAATCCATTCGGAAGCTTCAGCTGGTGCAAAATGGGGCCTGGGGGCCCTCTGCTCTGCAAACTTCACTGGTTACCTTCGGCCGGCTTCCAAGGGCTGTGCAAGATGTTGGGTCTGACCTTAAAGCCCTCCATGGGTCCAGGCTACTTCAGGAACCGCCTCGTCCTGCTAGGACAAGCCCGTCCTACTCGTGCCAGAAGAGAGGGCCTACTACGGATCCCATCAACCAGAGATCTCTGGATCCAGGAGAGCCTTTTCTGCCGCAGCACCCGCCCTTTGGAACCTCCCACCCTCTGGGCTAAGATCAGCCAGTTTATGGCTGGCCTGGGGACCCCAAGGGGGAATTTTGCACCCTGGAGGGGGCTGCTGGATTGATGGCTGACTCTACCTCCCCACCCCGCTTGCTGTCTGCTCTCCACCTGTCCATCTTTTTGTTACCATATTGATGCATTCCTGTTTTCTTTTTCATTGTCTATTGTATTATTTTACTTCTGCTTTGTTTACCCTCTCTTCTTTCCTTCCTTTTTATTATTGCAAGTCGTCTAGAGCAGACCCACCGCGACATAGGCAGCAAATAAATTTAACAATAAATACAGAAAATGAAGCCAAGAGTTAGCTGAATCAGCCAGCCCTCCTAACACTCTGGACGCCTCCGTGTCATCATCTTGGTGACCACATGGAAGCAGCTGGCCAGAGTTTCTCCAGGGAAGGTCCCCCCCCCCATATGTCCTCCGTGGTCTAGATCTCTTGGACCTTGTCATTGGTGGGGCAGAAAGTTGGGGGCTCTTGGTGGTGGTCTGGGTGAAACCAGGCTCAATAGCAGTAACTGTGAGAGGGATCTTGGAGTCTTTGTGGACAACCAGCTAAATATAAGCCAGCCGTGTGCAGCAGCAGCCCAAAAAGCCAATGCAATCCTAAATTGCATTAACAGAGGGATACAATGGAAATCAAGTAAGGTACTAATACTACTCCATAAAGCCTTAGTAAGACCACACCTAGAGTACTGCATCCAATTTAGATCACCACATTATAAAAAAGATGTTGAGATTCTAGAAAAAGCAGAAGAGCAACTAGAATGATTAGGGGATTGGAGACTAAGGCATATGGAGAACGGTTACAGGAACTGGGCCTGGCTAATCTAGTGAAGAGAACGCCCAGGGGAGACAGGATAGCAGTCTTCCAATATTTGAGGGGTTGCCATAGAGACAAAGGGGTCAAGCTATTTCCCAAAGCACCCAAAGGCCAGACAAGGAATAATGGATGGAAACTGAACAAGGAGAGGTTTAACCTGGAAATAAGGAGAAACTTTTTAATAGAACAGTCAACCAATGGAACAGAAATTGCCCTCAGAAGTTGTGGGAGTGCCATCACTTGAGACCTTCAAGAAGAGATTGGACTGCCATTTGCCAGAAATGGTGTAGGGTCTCCCACTTGGGCGGGGGGTTGGACTAAATCAGTGGTCACCAACCAGTGGGCCAGGGACCACTGGTGGTCCATGAGAAAATTTTGGTGGTCCACAGAGAAATGTCACCCCCAAAGGACCCCCCAAAGCAATTAATCCAGGCTGCGCAGGAACACAAGGCTTGCGTCGCTTGCATTGCAAACAATATGAGGTAGTGAGGGGAGGGGGGAAAGGGCGGAGGCGGGGAACTTGCCCCACTCATACCACGCGCCTGGCCTGGCCATCGGGCTGCTTCTTTCCGCTTCTTTCTTCTGCTTCAGGCTCCATGCAAGGAAAGCAGCAAAAGTCTTTCTTTTTCTCCCCCAAACTCGGCCAGAAGTGAGTCTTTGGGACCCTACAAGGCATCTGCTCCAAGAGGCTGCTCCAGCAAAGACTCATTTGTGGCAGAATTTGGGGGAGAGAAAGACTGCTGCTGCTGCTGCTTTCCTTGCATGAAGCTAAAAGTCTCTCCCCCCCCCCCCCGCCCCCGAATGGAACTGGAGACTGTATCCTGTGATCCCAAATAAAGAATGATGGATTGGTAGGAAAACGGGGTGGGGAATTTTCCTGCAGACTTTTTGGGGGATTTTCCCAGAGTCTCTGGTCCGTGGGATTTAAAATAATGAGTTTGGTGGTCCCTGAGGTCCAAAAGGTTGGTGATCCCTGGACTAAATGACCTATAAACAGAGACCTTCCAGCTCTTTTTATCTGTTTATCTGCCTCTGGCCATGGAAGTGGGAAGCTGTGGGAGGTCGCAGGCCACACTCTTTGCCTCCGAGATCCCTTGGGTGGGATCCTGGTAGGGAGGCCCCGGAGAGATCCCTTGCTGCTTCAGAGAAGGCTTATGACTCTGACGGCAAAAGGATCGAGCAGAAGGGTCTCTTCTAAGTATCTCGGGATCTGGGCTGGTTCCAGGCAATGCTTGGCCATTTCCTGAGTGATCCATTGAGTGCCCAGCAAACCTCTGGCCATAGGTGGTGGCTCAGGCTCCTGATTTGGTTGCCCCTAGCCCTCCCTGTTAAGGGATCCAGGGGGTCACCTTAGTTCGCCCAAGTGCTTCTGAAATGAATCTGGTGGAGCCCAGCAAGAGCTCCCATCTCCCTCTTGCCACCCTTTCCTCTGCCTCACCCGCCCGGAGATGTTGCAGGCTGGGAAACTGGGTGTCATGATCAGGAGCTTCATTACGGGGGGAGAGGGGGGGCTCCTGGATGTTTATGGGAGAAAGATGTGGAGTGTGGCGGGGGGGAGGCTCCTTAGAGAGAGTGGAGGGGGGCTCCTGCCTCCCCCACCCCGCAAGGCAGCCAGGCTTTCCCCAACATGAGCCAACCACACCAGGAGGAGGATGTCTTGCGTTCAGCTTTCTCCCCAGGCAGCAAAGAGGCTCCAGAGCCTTGAGGACTGCAGCTGCCTTGGCCCGGTGTGCCTTCAGGGATGGAAGGGGCCGGATTGCTACACTCTGGGGATTCGGGAGGGCTCCTTGGCTGCAGCTGGGAGGAGCCAACCTCGGCAACCAGCTGCTGCTAGGCTATACAAAGGACCTGCCACCACGACAGGGCAAAGTTGGGCAGAGCATCTCCACGCCCAGGCAGACCGGGGGGCGGGGGGAACGGACTGTACAAAAGCTGCTTGTTTCTGGCGCTGTTGGGGCCCACACGGCAGAGCTAGGGGCCTCCATGCCGTGCAGACACTGCCAGATGAATTGGGCTTTTGTGAGAAGCCAGCAGACCCATCGCAGCAGGGAGCTGCTGTCTCCAGAGCCCCCTGGGAGCTGGCCAGGAGGCCCTCCCTGCCCGCCATTCCCTAGAGCCAGAGGGACAGGGGCAGGAGCTGCTCTGTTCCCCCCCTCTCCCTCCCCGCCTCCTCCTTCACTCCCCACTCTGCTGCTGCTGCTGCTGATCGAAGCAGCATCTCCCTCATTCATTCACAGCCCCAAAGGCCCAGATCTTTGGGGGTGGCGATTCCCAAGCAAACTGGAAGCCACAGAAAAATGCAAGGTGATCCGAGAGGAGGAACGTGGTTGAATGCAAGCAAGGCCAGCCTGCCAGCCCCCAACGAAGCAGCAGCTTCTGCGTGCCACTGCCTAGGGGGAATTCTCCTTCGAGGCAACAAGGGGCAGCACATTTGGGGTTTAAGGAAAGGGACTAGGAGCTTGAGATTTGCTCTGTTTGCAAATCTTTGCCCAGCGGCCCCCCCCGCTCCCCAGGCAGTCCTTCAGGAGGTGCTATGCTCCCTCATGTCCCCGGTGCATTTCTGTAGCTTGCAGTGCTCCTCCGACCCCCTTCATGGGCCCCCTTCAGCTCCCTCCTCTTTCTCCTTGCCCAGCATTGAGTTCTGGCTTCATCTTCTCTGGTCCTCAACAGTTGGTTCCCCTGGAATGGCAAGGCACTTCTCTATCACCAGCAGCTGGCCACAGAGTCTGTCTTTACCCAGTCCGTCCCGCCTGGGTCTTGGCAGGAAGGCCTCCAGGAGTTGGCCTAGGCCTAGGCATTTAGGCCAGGGGTGTGACTGGAAGTAAAGCTCTTTCATGTGATATAGAAAATTAAACTTTATTATTAAAAAGATAAAATCATAAAAAAAACATTGGCTGGTTGTCTCTGAAAAACACAGTACAGCACCGTGAGAAATCTCAGTGGCAGCAATGCTACCTCCAGAGGCCGGGCTCTGCCTCATGGCCCAAGGTTGGTGGGACTGGAACAGGTTATCCTTGGGGTTTCCTCAAAAGGAGCCACCAGCAGCTGCTGCCGCCGCCACGTTTCTTTGCAAATTTAGAAGAGACACATTTGTCCACAAGTGCAACTCAGGAATCCGGTAGCAGCTTTTCCAACTGGCAAATTTCATTAAAAGCCATAAGCTTTTCTGAACGGCAGATACATGAAAAATTATCCTTGTGAAATATATTAGTTGGAAAAGCTGCTCCCAGATTCCTTCCGTGCACCTAGTCTCCCTCCAGTCCCAGTGAAGCCCACTTCTTCTGCAGGGCGAAGAGCTGCCCAGTGGTAACAGGGAAGGCCCTCGGCCCTGCCAGCCTGTGATTTATAGCCTGCTGGGTAGAGACCAGCCGGTCTTGCATTGTCTGACCGATCAGGTGGAAAAGGCCACCAGATGGCGCATGGATTACATGCTGGGGGGGACATGGAAATCTGCCCCCTCCAGAGCCCCCACTCCCTGGGGCTGCAGCTTCCTTTGCTTTCTATCCAGGCAAATGCGGCGGGGGCCGGGAGGCAGGGAGGGGTCTTCACGGGGTGCGACATCAAAGCGCGCCACTGAGCAAACACAGACACATGGGGGGGGGGGGGCTGCAGAGGAAACTCCATCGAAACTGCCAGACCACATGGTGAGTCTCGGCCTGGATAGCGACATAGACATAGAATTCTTCATTGGCCAAGTCTGGTTGGACACACAAGGACTCTGTCTTGGTGCAAATACCCACAGTGCACATAAAAGGCAAGAGACCTTCGTCAGCCAGAGCTTTTCCTGTCCGCCAGTCGTGGTTTATTTATTTATTTTGTCAAGCGATTATAAGATAATAGGTATAAGTATAAACATAGTTATGAATACATGAAATGAATACGAATAAGAAAAATAAAAAGAAACAATAGGACAGGGACAGTAGGCACGTTGGTGCACTTATGCACGCCCCCTACAGACCTCTTAGGAAGAGGGGAGGTCAATAGTAGACAGTCTAAGGTTAAAGTTTTTGGGGTCTGGGGAAGAAACCACAGAGTCAGGTAGAGGATTCCAGACACTGACCACTCTGTGGCTGAAGTCGTATTTCCTGCAATCAAGTTTGGTGCGGTTTACCTTGAGTTTGTATCTATTGTGTGCTCTCGTATTGTTATGGTTGAAGCTGAAGTATTCATTGACTGGTAGGACATCGCAATATATAATTTTATGTATTATACTTAAGATTGGACTGAAGCGGCGTAGTTCTAGATTTTCTAGTTCTAGAATTTCAAGTCTGGTGGCATAAGGTATTCTGCAACATGTAGAGGAATGGAGAACTCTTCTTGTGAAATATCTCTGGACTTTCTCAACTGTGTTAATATCAGATACGTAATGTGGGTTCCAGACTGATGAGCTGTATTCGAGTATTGGTCTCGCAAATGTTTTGTATGCTCTAGTTATTAGTGTAATATTACCAGAGGAAAAGCTACGCAGGATTAGGTTAACAACTCTTAATGCCTTTTTGGCTATGTAGTTACAGTGGGCTCTAGCATTTAGGTCATTTGAGATGAGTCCTTCAAGATCCTTGACAGAGTTTGGATTATCAACAAGCTCTTGACTATTCAGCTTGTATTTTATTTTCTGATTATTATTTTTTGCCAATATGTAAGACAGAGCATTTATTTCTTGAGATTTGAAGTTGCCATTTGTTTGACCATTCTGATACATAGTCGAGGTCTTTTTGAAGGGTAGCAGTATTGTCTGTGGTGTTGAATAGCTTTACATCATCAGCGAAGAGAACGCAGTTGCTCTTGATATGATCACAGAGGTCATTTATGTAGAGTATGAAGAGAGTTGGTCCTAGAACACTGCCTTGGGGGACACCACCGTTGACAGGTACAGAATTTGACTGGACTCTCCCAATTTTGACCATTTGTTGTCTGTTTGACAGGAATGCTTCTATGCAGTTATGCAGGTGTCCAGAGATACCATAAGATTTTAGTTTTAGGAGTAGTTTGTCCTGTATCACTGAATCAAAGGCTTCACAGAAGTCTATGTAGATTGCATCTATTGCTTTGCCCTGATCGAGTTGTGTAGTCCATAGGTTTTTGCAGTGTAAGAGTTGCAGATTGCAGGATAGTTTTTTTCTGAAACCAAATTGTTTATTGGAGAGTAGGTTGTTGGGGGGGGGGGTGGCTCTCTCCGGGCTACCCCCCTTCCAGGCCGCGCTGGGGTTGCGTGCGCTTTTCCCGACAGGCTCAAAGAGCTCCCAGAGGCGACACGCGAAGCGGGGCTAGAAACCGCGATGCCCACGACACTCAAAGGCAGGCAGAGGCGGCGCGGAAAGTACGCCAGGGCCGAGGGCTCCGTCTGCTCCCCCACCCCATCCTCTTTAGCGGCTGGGGCGCGAGACCCTCCCCGGTCCACGCGAGAAGGGCCCCCTGCGGGGATGCGAGGGGGAGGGAATGACCTCCCCCGTCACAGCACGGACGCTGCTCCCCCCCCCCCCGTTTGGCTCCCGAAGCGCCCGCAAGAAAAGCCCCGGGCTCAGCAGCTCCTCGAGCGGGAGACCTCGGGCGCCGCGTCCCGCGGAAGGGCCCCACGCTCGCCAAGGGCGCCGGGCTGCTTCCGGGGGGTCGGGGCGGACCCGGGGCAGCCAAGGGCAGGAGAGGGTCGAGCTCCGCGGGGGCGGGTGCCCGACGGGCACGGGAGGCAGGGAAAGGCGCTTCGTCCGCGCCTTTCGTCAGACGGGCCCTCCTGCGGGCCGCCTCCGCGAAGGGAGTCGGGAAATCGGAGCCCCGACCGGCAGACGGGACGGGCGCCCTCCGCGCGAGATCGCGATCGGCGGCGCTGGGACCGGGCGGGGGGCGGGGGGGGGGGCGAGTCGGGGGCGGGCCCGCGGGCGGCAGCATACCAATCAGCGGCTCCCGCGCGCGGGCTCTGGCCGAAACTTTCTGGGCGGGGCCGAGGCCTGGCGCTCACCTGGCCCGCCCCACCGGGTAGGTAGGGGGCGGGCCGGCGGGCGCGGATTGGTGGGCGGCCGGGAGGCGTGGCCAGCGACGCCTGTGCCGCCATCTTGTCTGAAAACTTTTGGGCTCCCGGCGCCGCCCGTCCACCCGCCCGGAGGGAGCCAGGAGGGTCGCGCGGGGGTGGGGGGGGCAGGAAGGGAGGCCGCCGCGGCGGTCGCCATGCCCGTCAGGAGGCAAGGTGGGCCGCGGGACGGGGAGACGGGGGGGGGCACCGCCGTGCCTCTGGGCGCGTGCAGAGGGCGGTGGGGGGAGGGCTCCGGCTGGGCTCTGACGGCTCCCTCTCCGCCTCCCCCGCCCGCAGACACGCAGCGCGCCCTGAGGCTCCTGGAGGACTACCGCGCCAAGCTGAGCCCGCGGGAGGACCGGCAGCTGAGCAGCTCGGTGGAACGGGTGATCGGCATCTTCCGGAGCAGCCTCTTCCAGGCCCTGCTCGGTAGGCGGCCCCCGGCAGCCCTCTTCCTAGGCGGCGGCCGCCGCAGGGTCCCGGGGGCGCGAGTCGGCCTCCCCTTCGTGGCTGCGGAGCCCTTGCCAGGCGTCCCGGGGGTGGCGTGGTCGGCGGGCGAAAGTTGCGGCGGCTCCCGTCCCGAGAGGGGAGTTTTCCCCTCGGCCGGTGCTCCGCCTGCCCCGTGGGGCTCGGGCTCTCTGCCGCCGCCCCTCCTCCTCGCTGGAAGGGCTGTCCCGGGGCTGGACACGGGAGAAGGGGGGGCCTGCTGGAAGCCTTCTCTCCGGGCGGCGGCGGCGGAGGATTCCTTCTGAGGAGCCGCCAATTAACCTCCGCAGATATTCAAGAGTTCTACGAGGTGACTCTGCTTGAAAACCCCAAAAGCGCCGATGAACCGAAGCCTGCTCAACCCGTCCAGCCCGGGGGCACCTGGGACTTGCCCAGTCCGCCAAGCACCGGCCTGACTTCGGAGACCTTGCCCAGCAGCCAGACTGCCGACACCCAGGTAGATGAAACCGGAGCCCCTCCACCGTCCCAGCGCCGCCCCCCCCCTTCTGGGGATGGCAAGGGGCCCTGCCCGCTTTGGGAAGAAGAGTTTATTTTGCTTTTTCGCCTCTCTGCAGGGGCCCCTGAACTTCTGAGAAGGTTCCCTTTTGCTGTGCAACACTTGCAGCCGAGTGTTAGAGTAACAATGGATTAAAATGTACTAACGCGGGAAGCCTTTGAATCAGAGTTAGTTTCTGACTTGAATGAGGTGGAAATTATGTTTAGCATCTACTCCAGAATTGACTTGTTGGCAAATTGTGCTCACATTATAGTTTCCCCAGTGGTAGAAAAAAAAGATGCCCAAGGACGTATCCCATTGGAAGCTTTGGGGTGGACCCCATACCGCCCCTCCCCCAAAGAAGTGGTGTTCATGAGGGGCTGCTGGATCCCCTTTCAGAAGGGTGGCTTGAGTTCTGCCAGAAATGCTCCCTTTTTGCTTTAGGTTACTCTGCCTTAGTGGGCAGGGGGGGGGCTGTGTGCTCTGGGGAGGGGGACATGCTTGATGGGGGTGGTGGGAGGGGCCTTTTCTATGGAGTCCTTGCATTGGTTGGAGCAGGAGGGGGGAGGCAGGAGATGCCAAGGGTCCAGAGGAAATCAACCCCCCGCCCCCCCCAATAGATGGCTAGCCAGTGGTTATCACTTCTGAGGCAAAGGGCAGGGAGGACATAGCAGCGGAGAGGCTGTGCCCCCCCCTCCAAAGAAACCCACCCTTGGTTGGCAACGTGAGAGGAGGGCCCAGGGTCCCTCCAGAGGACCTGGTGGGATGTTCACTTAGCCTCTTCGTCCTGCCTTTGGATGCTGCCTTCTGCCTCCCAGTCCCACCACCTTGGACAGGCAGTGGCCTGCGGGTGGACGGGATCAGTGCACGCATGGAGATTTCCCACTGGAAAAGCAGTGGGGAGGCCAGAGGTGCCTCTGCGTGGTTTAAATGAGCTTTTGAACTGTTTCCTTGTTTCTAGGTGGGTGTGTTGGCACTAGATGTTGGTTAGTGATAGGAAGGCATTTTCCTCACGCCCAAGCTGAATTCTACAAATTTAATTTACTTTAATTGTTATGGACAGAGAGGACGGGGGAAATGCAGATACTCACAGCAGAATAATGGAAATGTATTGTTCTTTTTGGCAAAGTTGGTGGTTTTTGCCTCAGCCCTTGAGCTGGGATGCAAGGATCTTATTGTCACTTCAAGCTCGGAAAGAAGGACGGGGGTGGGGTGGGGTGGGGCCCTTAGTGCTCTGCTAAGGAACCCTTAGAACTGGAAGCTGTTTCAAACTGGCAGGAGGGAAGTTGAAAGGTCATGTTAGAAAGTAAGACTTTGCGGAAAGAGTCCTGGAAACTTAGAGCCAACTTCCTGTGGAGGTAGCGGGTCAGGGATCAGTAGCTAAGTTTCAGTCTGCTTGGGATAAACAACATTGTCATCCGACAATTAAAAAAAAAACCTTAAACACAGACGATGGACTACTAGTTGCTATCAGTTGTCTATGTTTCTATGTTTCCAATGTTCTGGCAGAAATAGGCTGCCCTTGGGGCTGAATCCTCTGGAATACCATGAAATGCTTCTGGTAGGGATTAACTTCTGGGAAATTGCCAGGCCACCCCAAAGTTGACAATGTTCCCCACAATTAAGGCAATTTCTCATATGCCTACCAAAACTATATTTTTCTAATTTCTCTGATCCCAGCATAATTCTCTTACTGTTCACATCTAATCTTAACACTAAGATTCAAGGCATTTCCCTGTTCTGTTTATGCGGATATGTGTGTATAAAGTTGTACAATCAAAGCAGTGGTGGGATTCAAAATTTTTTACTACTGGTTTTGTGGGCGTGGCCTATTTTGTGGGTGTGGCCTAAGGGGTCATGTGACTGTGTGGCTTATTTTGTGGGTGTGGCTTGGCAGTCATGTGACTGGCTGGGCGGAATATTTCCCCTAAAAAGAAAAGTAAAAACTCAAGAAAGGCAGAAATTAACCCCCCCCAAAACCTTTGCTAATGGGCCATTACTCTGGCCTAGACCAATCTATTTTACCTAACAAAGATCTACTCCAGGTAGAGCTTTATTAGGAATTGCCCAAAGCCCTTTCATTACATCATCCAGCAAGGTTCAACCAGGGACTCAGTACAGAGTTGCCCCTGCATGGCCCCTGCATGGGAGTCTGACAACTGATCAGAATACAAGCTCAAATTCAGATCCCAACAGAGGGCATTCTGGATTTAAAACCAGAAATATTTTGTTGGATTCATTTAATTTTACACATACAACAGCTATTAGAATTGTGTTTGCACAATAATGGGAAAAAAAGATATGAAAATGAATTAAAATATTAGAATGTGCAGAAATGAGTAAATTAACAATTACAAATTTACAATCAAGGAGAAGACTTAGAATACTTTTTAACATGGGATTTCTTTTATCAGTGGCTAACTAACAGAAACAGAAGTTAAAAATGTAAAAGTATAAAAGAAAACACCAATTATATAAGGAAAGTTCAGTGAAAAGGATAAGGAAATATTAGCATTTGATCATTGTTAGTGAGTAGATAACTTTGAAAGCGTACACCACCACCACCACCACCACCCCCAAAAAAATACTGCAGATAAAAAGCAGTTTTTTTACTTAATCCCCAGAAAAAGCCACTGCAATAAAAACCATGGATTGTTCCCCCAAGGACCCAAAACCTCACACCAGAAATCTCAGCCCTTCTGCCTTTAAGAAACCCCCAGGCAAACAAGCAAGACAACAGAAAGCACCACTAAAGTACAGCCATTATTAAGGTAAATCACCTGGGGGTTCCCTTTTCCTGAGAACTGGCAGAATGAACCACCATGATAGGAAAGACTAAAGACCCCGGCAAGAATAGAAGCCGGACAATCATGAGCACTCGAAACCCATCAAGCAGGCTCAGCTCCAGACATCTCAACGTGTTAAAACCAGCTTGAATAAGGGTGCAAGTGTTATACCCCAAAACTAATTTTCTCAGAAACCATAAAGCAGCTGGACTTCACGTAAAATGTCACCTGCCTGCATGCTGCAAGCATCAACATCAAAAAATGCTAGGATATGTAACATGACTGGATTGGCAGCAGACCCACAAAACTACACAACTGAAAACACACTCCTTACACAACTGAAAACTACACCCACGCACACAAAGCAGATACAGCTGGAAAAATCCAAAAACATAGCTTTAATTTATAGGCACATAACATTTCACACAATTTAAAAGAACTTCCATACACACACAATGACAACCTCACAAAGCAGCTGCTTTCTAAAAATAGAAAAGCAGCTAAAAATTTCCAAATTTTATATGACTATTTTTTTAGGAAAAAAAATATCACACTTACTGTTTTTTTAAATCAGGAGTCTTCAAACTTGACAGCTTTAAGACTTGTGGATTTCAACTCCCAGAAGCCCTCCTCCAGCCATGGTAGCTCAAGAATTCTGAGAGTTGAAGTCCACAAGTCTTAAAATGTGCCAAGTTTGAAGGCCCCTGCCCTGGTTTAAATAAGAAAAAAAAGCGCCACTTACCCAATTGAAGAAAGCAGGCAGGCAGATTCAGTTGCTCACCTAGGGGCTGGAAGCGAGGCAGGAGACAAGTTTACAGCAGCAGTTTGGGAATCGGGAGAAGGCGTCTGAAGGAGGTAGAGTAGAATAGAAATAGAATAGAAATAGAAATAGAAATAGAATAGAATAGAATAGAATAGAATAGAATAGAATAGAATAGAATAGAATAGCTTTATTGGCCAAGTGTGATTGGACACACAAGGAATTGGTCTTGGTGTAAATACTCTCAGTATACATAAAGAAAAGGTACATTCATTAAGAATCCATCATAACATACAACACCTAATGATAGTCATAGAGTATGATCAACAATCAAATCATACTAGGAAACCGTCAAGTGGGAGGGGATGGGTGATACGGAGTGGTGAGAAGATTAACAGTAATAGTAGTGTACACTTTGTAAATAGTTGAACAGTGTTGAGGGAATTATTTAGCAAAGTGATGGCTTTCGGGGAAAAAACTCCCCTTGTGTCTAGTTGTTCTGGTGTGCAGGGCTCTATAGCGTCGTTTTGAGGGAAGGAGTTTAAACAGTTTATGTCTGGGATGTGAGGGGTCTGTAAATATTTTCACAGCCCTCTTTTTGACTCTGTGCAGTATATAGGTCCTCAATTGAAGGCAGGTGGGTAGTAATTGCTTCTTCTGCAGTCCTAATTATCCTCTGAAGTCTGTGTCTGTCCTGCTGGGTTGCAGAGCCAAACCAGACAGTTATAGAGGCGCAGATGACAGGCTCAATCATTCCTCTGTAGAACTGGATCAGCAGCTCCTTTTGGGAAGTTTGAGCTTTCTGAGTTGGCGCAGAAAGAACCTTCTTTGTTGTGCTTTTTTGATGATGTTTTTGATGTTAGGTGTCCATTTTAGGTCATGTGATATAGTAGAACCTAGAAATTTGAAGGTCTCTACTATTGATATTGTGTTGTCTAGTATTGTAAGAGGTGATAGTATAGGAGGGTTTCTTCTAAAGTCTACCACCATTTCTACGGTTTTGAGTGTGTTCAATTCCAGATTGTTCCGGTTACACTATGAGGCAAGTTGTATAACCTGTCTATATGCAGATTCATCGTTGTCTCAAATGAGACCAGTCACTGTTGTGTCATTAGCAAACATGAGTATTTTAACAGATGGATCGTTTGAGATGCAGAGAAGAGAAGTGGAGATAGCACACAGCCTTGGGGAGGCCCTGTGCTGATTGTACAGGTATCGTGCTTGCTGGAGGTGGGAGGTGGGAGGGAAGTGGGTTCTTTTAACAAGGCTGGCTAAGCTGGAGCCTATGGACTCTAGCCTAGCCAGCAAGGACCTCCGAGGGCTTTTAGTTTAGTTTAGTTTAGTTTATTGTCATTGCACCTTGTACAACAAAATCTGACACCATCTTCAGTGCACATCATGACCAGGACCATGAAAACAAACACTAACACACATCCTTCACCCTTCACACATTGAACCGGAAACCCCCAATACCACAGCAACACTGCACTATACAGCAGGATTCAAAAGAGCTACTGTCCTGGGATAGAAGCTGTTTTTCAGCCTATTTGTCCTTTTTATTATTATTCTGTACCATCTACCAGATGGTAATAGTTCAAAAAAAGAGTTCCCAGGATGATGTTTTGAACTTTCTTAAGGCAGCGGGAGCTATAAAGCTCTTTCAAAGAGGGGAGCGGGCAACCAATAATCTTCTGGGCAATGACCTTAGCCCTCTGGAGTGCTTTCCTATCTGCCACTGTGCAATTGGCAAACCATACAGAGGTGCAGTATGTTAAAATGCTCTGTATGGTGCAGTGGTAGAAGGTCACCAGCAGTTCCTCATTCAGTTGTTGTTTTCTGAGAAGCCTCAGGTAGTAGAATCTGCTGGGCCCTTTTGACCAGAGCTGCAGTGTGGGCACCCCAGGTCAGGTCCTCTTTTAGGGTAACACCCAGAAACTTAAAACCGGCCACTTGCTCCACTCGGTCTCCCTTGATAAGCAAGGGCTGGATGTCTGATCTGTTCCTTCTATAATCCACTATAAGCTCCTTGGTCTTATTGGTGTTGAGGGCCAAGTTGTTGTCTCCACACCACGAAAGCAACAGGTCCACCTCATCTCGGTAGGCAGACTCATCCCCCCACCTCCCCGGAGATAAGTCCCACCACTGTTGTATCATCTGCAAATTTGGCAGTAGTATTACTAGCATGAGTGGGAATGCAGTCATGCATATAAAGAGTATAGAGTAAAGGACTCAACACGCAACCCCTGTGGTGTACCAGTGTTAAGAATAAGGGCTGAAGAGGTATGGTTACCTAATCTGACCCTCTCTGAGCGGCCAGACAGGAAATCCATAATCCAGAGGCAGATTGAATTAGAAAGCCCGAGGTCCAGAAGTTTAGACACTAGTCTATGTGGAAGAATTGTGAAACGCAGAACTAAAATCCACAAAAAGCATCCTCACATAGCCCTCCCGCTCTTCTAGATGAATCAGAGTAGTGTGAAGAGCGATGGCTATAGTGTCCTCCATAGATCTATTATTTTTGTATGCAAGCTGGCGTTTATCAAATGTATGCGGAAGACCAGAAATGATGTGCTGGCAGACCAATTTCTCAAAGCACTTCATGATGAGTGCCACTGGTCTATAATCGTTGAGGTTATTGATAGGGAACTTCTTTGGCAGCGGAACAATGGTGAAAGCCTTCAAACAAGATGGAATAGTGGACTGGGATAAAGACCGATTGAAGATCCTGGTAAAGACTCCAGCCAACTGATCAGCACAGTCTTTAAGCACTCGGCCAGAGATACCGCCAGGACCGGCAATCTTTCTAGGGTCCACAGCCCTCAGAATGCTCCTCACCTCCTGTTCCTCCACAGTGAGGTGGGGGCTACAATTGGCTGGTGGTTGTGTTTTATCTGCCTCTGATGTCTCCACTTCAAAGCGAGCAAAGAAATGATTCAGTTCCTCTGCCAATGAAGCATCCCCCCCCCTCAACAGGGATGACATTGGTCGGTTGATGGTTTGTAATTTGTTAAATTCCTCACCACACCTGCCTCATGTTATTGCTATAAAAATTATCCTCAATCTTCCTCTTATAATCAATACCTTTCTTCAGATTAGCTCTGGCAACACTATATCTTGCCCCATCACCGGACCTAAAGGCCTTGGTCCTGTCATGCAAGAGGCGCTGGACTTCCTTGGTCATCCAGGGTTTCTGATTGGGATAGATCCTAATATGTTTATCCACAGAGACAGTATCTGTGCAGTGTTTGATATAGCACAGAACAGTTGCAGTGTGCACTTCCAGGTCAGGGTGGTAAAAGATGTCCCAATTTGTGTTCTCAAAACAATCCTGAAGTTGTTGGGAAGCATCTTCTGGCCAAGATTTCACTGTCTTTATTATAGGCAGAGCCCATCTCCTAAGAGGGATGTACGCTGGTGCTAAAAGCAGCGACATATGGTCCGATTGTCCCAAATGTGGTAGTTGTATAACCTTATAGCAATGTTTTATGTTGGTATATACTTTTAGAGGCCCTTGGGTGGGTGGGTGGGTGGGTGGCAGCCGTAATGGGCAGCAGCAGTGGGAAAGTGCGGGAGGGGGCTCGGCAGTGTGGTGCAAGCCATCACCGCAGCTTGGCCGGCTGCACGAGGCCCGGGCTTTATGCCACGGCCACGGGAGGCTCCAGAAAGGCCTGGATGAAGCCGGGAGGTGGGAAAGTGCAGTGGGGGCCTCAGCCATCACAGTGGCTTGGCCGGCTACGCAAGGCCCTGAGCTGGAGTCCACGGCCTCCAGAGGGCCCCGGAAGCACAGGGCGAGGCTGGGTGGCAGGAAGAAGCGCCGGGGGCATTTGGCAGCTGGAGGGTGGGCGGCTGCAAGGGTAGTGGCTGGACCACAAGGGACCCGCGGCGGCTTGGGGAGCTACGCCAGGCTGCGGATTGAGGCCGCGGGGGGGCGGGGGGGGCAAGGCACTAATTTTACAGATCTTTTTCTCTTTTTTAAATTGCTATCTCAGATGAAAGAAGTCTTGGAGGGAACAGTTTTAAAACTCTTAAGACAAAAAGCTGTTCATAAAGTCAATGGTACAGGTAGCCTTTGACTTACAACAGTTCATTTAGTGACCATTCAGAGTTAAACACATGAAAGTTAAGCACATGAAAAAAGTTGATTTATGACCGTGTTTCACAGTTACAACCTTTGCAGCATCCCCACAATGAAAATTCAGACGCTTGGCAACTGGTTCGTATTTATGACGCTTCTTCACCGGGACTTCCTGGTTGCTTCCCACAGATGTGAGATGGACGGCTATATAAACTGAATGAATGAATGAATGAATGAATGAATGAATGAATGAAAGGCAAATGAAAACTGCATTCATGATTGGTCTCTGAAAGTAAAAGAAATGTCCTTCGGTATGTTGTTGTTAGTTGCAAAGTCGTGTCCGACCCATCGTGACCCCATGGATGACGCTCCTCCAGGCTTCCTGTCCTCTACCCTCTTCTGGAGTCCATTGAAGCTCAGGCCAACTGCTTCTGTGCCTCCATCCAGCCCCCTCCTTCTCTGCCACCCTCTTCGTCTTCTTCTTTTGCCCTCCATCCTTCCCAGCATTCGGCACTTCTCCAGTGAGTCCTTCCTTCCTTCCTTCCTTCCTCATGAGGCGGCCCCGAGTCTTTGAGCTTCATCTTCAGGATCCGGCCTTCTAAAGAGCAGCCAGGGTTGGTCTCCTCTAGGACCTCAGTGTATCCAGTGTTAAAATATTTTGTTTCACTCTGTGCTAGTAAGTAGAGTTTGAGTCTTCTCCTTTAATTGCAACCCTTATTCCTTCTAGTTCCTATAGTATATTCCCTTCTTACTTGGTGTCTTTGACTTCTGTGGTTTACCGGGCAGGGGGACACACACACACACCCCACTCCTTTTGAGTATTTTATAGAACTTTGGTTATCCCCGATAGGCAGTAACTAAGTTTTGGGCATTCTGGATAGGGATAACCAGGTTTGGGACATAATACTTGAGATGCCATAGCAGGCAATGCATAAAGACCTGAAGAACATTTCTGAATGAATGTGGGCTTGAATGTGGGCTGGCAAAAAAGCCTGGCCTGAGTGACGCAAGGAAGCGAAAAGCTTTGGTCAGGGATGGCTGTGGCCAGGAAGGCCCACGAAAAGGACCCTGACGTGCCCCATGGGAGGCTTTGGAGGCAATGCATTTGCCTTCCCTGCACGAAGCTTTAGCAGCACCTGGCAAGACGCACAGGGTTGTGGAGTTCGGTCTGGTTGTAAAGAATCACCTCTCTGTGCCCATTGCAGAAATTCGGCTCCCAAGATGAAGACTCCTTTCCCTCGGAGCCCAGCAGCTTTCCTCAGGCTCCGGGCGCAGGGATGCCAGCTCCAGAACTGGTGCACGTGTCCGAGAAGAACCTCTCACAGCTGGAAAGCGTCCGCGGCTTTGTTGGCCACTCCCACATTTCGCCAGCCAAGGTAAGAGCAGAGGCTGGTCTTGTGGGACAGCTGCGGGAACCAGTTGGAGCCTCAAGGGAGGCCGGCCTGTTTGGCCTGGCCCAAAGTCGTTTGCAGTGGATGAAAGGTGGGCGACTCTCGGCCGCAACGGCAGCCACCGGGACCCTGGCTGGTGGGAAGCAGTACCTGGAGGTCCCTGGTCTCCTAGCTCTCTGATCTTTGCTTCATCGTCACAGTCTGAAGTCTTAAAACTAATTGCCCATTTCCTAGTAGAGGCAGCCGTCAACCTATAGCCATAAACTGACCCTGTAATTTCAGTTGTAAGTCACTGTGGTCATTATGTCAGATATCATGTGACTGCTTTGCTCAAGAACTGCAATATTGGCACTGCAAAGCTGGGCAGGTTGGCGCAGGGAGGCTTGAACGCAGGGAGGCTGCGGGAAGAAGCCCCAGTGGCCCCAGCTGCACCCTGAGAAGCCCCAAGGGCCCCAAAAGGTGCAAGGGCAAAACAGCCACTTGGGATTCCTCCATCGGCCCAGCCCAGCCCAGCCCAGCCCAGCCTCGCTCCAGGGTGGAAAGGCAGGAAGCAAGCAGGCCACAGCCCTGGGGAGGCCTTTAAAGCTGCCCCCCTCCTGGCGTTTCCCACAACTGAACTGCCTCTGCTGGGGGCTTCCCCCCCCCCCCCCAGAATTGGGTTTAGCGCCCCCCCCCCCCGCATCACACATGGGTGCAGGTGGGAGGGGGAGAGCATCTAGGACTTTTAAAGGAGGGGGGAGGCTTACTGCCTTTGGGTATGCATGTACACACGCATGCATACGCACGCACCCTCAAACGTGGGGAGAAGGGAGGGGAGGGGGCTGGTGTTCCAAAGAGTTTGGACGTTTTCAAGGGGAACCCAGACTCCTCCTCCTCCTCCTCCTCCACCCTGTGACAAAGGAGAGGAGGAGGAGGAGGAGGGTGAATCCCCTCCCAGACCCTCCTCCTCCTCCTCCTGCAGGAGAGGTTCCTTCAAGGTCCTTGTAGGGGGAGGGCCCCTTCCTCAACAGCCAGGCTGCACCGCTTCCTCCCCTCCCCTGTAGGGATTCCAGTGGGCCTTTTGAACTGGGTGGGTGGGAGGGGACAGGCCAAGGTGGGTGGGGGGCTGGCACTGATTCCTGAATGGGAGGGAAGCCACAGGGGGAAAGGCTGGACTTGGGAGAGACCTCCCTGTTCTGGCCCTCCACCCCCCCTCAGGCTGGCTGGGAGGGAGGGGGGGAGGGGAGGGCATGTGCCATGTGCTCTGCCAGAAATGCCCCAGAGCTCCCTTAAGTGATGCCCATAACTTTAGGCACAGGTCTTAAATTCCTTTGTCAAGAGTTTTGAATGGTCTCTGCGTGAACTGTCATAAATCAAGGACTCAAGGAATCCACTGAATCTGCAGGGGTTCATGGTGTAAAAGACGGGGCCTTAGGATGCTTTAATGAAATATGCCTAACAATATGCAAATTCTGGGCTTGCTTCCGGCCTCCATATGACAAGTCGGATATTATTCCCTCTTCCTTGGAATCTGGTGATTATCATGGAGCCTGAAATAATAAAAACATTCCTTTTCTCCGCCACGTTTAGAGGGCATTTATTTACATGAGGGATACAGGGTGGAACTTAACTGAGGGGAAAAGCCTGTCAGGGTGAAGGGGGGGGGGCGAACTCCTCCTCCTCCTTCTGAGGTGGCCTCCTTAACCTGACTCAGAGTGATGGGCTTGTTTGTCAGCTGGACCAGTTGGTGGCAACATTTAAGGGATTTTATTGCAAACATTTTAACTGAAGTCGTCTTTGTGTTTTAAAACGCGGAGTGTTTCTGATTCCTAGAACCCCCATTTTGTTTCTCCGATGCTCGCTTTCCTGTTTTTGGCCCCCCCCTCCTTTATTTTTTGATTCTCTCTCTCTCTCTCTCTCCTTCCCAGAGTTTTGGGCTCGTGTTCCTCTCCTGCCTTTGTGCCCACGATTCCTTTGAGCCTCTGCTGCTGGGTAGGGAGTCCCGCTGGCTCCACCTGGCCTCTTTCGAGGGGCTGCAGCTCTTGGGGCCCCCCAAAGACTTGGCAGCTTCTCCGGTCTGCTTCAGCGTCACCCATGTTTGGGCCACTTTGTGCTGCCACGACCTGAAGGGGGCAGTGCTCCAGGTTGCCCGAAATGTTTGCCCTGGATAAGGCTGCTGCCTGGTTATGCCAGCACCTGTGGCTGCCAGGTGGCCGCAGTCCCCCGCCTTCCGAGTGATCCCCTGCAGCTGCTTCCTTTGCTGGTTGCTGAAGGCTGCTCCTGGGGGCCCCCCGGTGCTCGGTCAGCCCACTGCTGCGCATCCCCTCCCCTTTTTCTGTGCGTCGGTCTCTCTCTTCCTTTGTTCTTCCAGTCTTCTGTTGGTGTCTCAACTTCTCTTCTCTCCCTGCTTCTGCCGCCACCACCGGTGAGCTCCCCTCCTGTTTGGCTGTTCCTAAACAGCCGCAGAAGCAAGACCTTCCTGGGAGGGAAAGACGTTGGTTTGCCTTTGTCGTTGCAGTGGACATCCAGGGGGAGGGAGGGAGGGAGGGCCCCGGAAGCCCAGGGAAACACGTGGGCCAAGGCTGGATTGGGAGCAGCCTCCTTGCTTTCGACCAGAGCAGCCGCTGTGCTGCTCTGAACTGGCGCCTGTTGACACCTGGCCTGGTAGGGAGAGCACGGTGCTCCATAAAGACGGCGGGAGGTTTTCTCCGGAGAGTCCTGTCGATGTGTCTAGTGTGTAGAGGCGAGGGGGGCGGAAATTTGCGAGCACTGCTTCCCTGCCTCTCCAAAATCCCCCTTCAGAGGGCGGCAGGAGCCCCAGGCAAAGTGGAAGGCAGCGGCCAGTCTGAAGTTGGGCCGTGGTTTAGCAGCCCCAAGACCCTCGAGGGCAGCAAAGGGGACTTGAAATAACAGAAGGAGGTTATTTCATGGCCTTAAATGTCTTTGGAGGCTCTCTTGCTGTGTCAGAAATGTTCCAATTCACATTTCTCCATTTCAGAATATTGAGTTACTAATAAAAAAAAGCTCTTGAATAAATTACAGATAGGCAAAGTAGCCTCCTAATAGTATTCAGATACCGCCACTAGATGGCAGTGGTGTTGCCAAAGGAGAGGAGCCGGAATAATAATATCCTGAATTAATTAATGTTGCCCTTTCCCTGGTAGGTGGAGCAGCCAGGCTTGGATGGGGTACGGACCGTAAGGAAACGGGTGGCGGAGGGTGAGATGAAGGAAGTGGGGTTCACCCTCCTTCCTGCATGGAAGAGGCTGTGCTGGGAGTTGCTTGGGGGGGGGGGGCTGAGGCTCCCCCTCCCCCTCGAATGGTGGCGAGAGAACACGGCGGTTCTGGGTGGAAAAAAAAAACAAGGCTCCTGACCAGCCTGGCATTGATGGGGGGAGAGAGAGAGAGACAGGGAAAGCCACCCATGAGCCCCATAAAGGACAGGATAATAGGAGCCATCAGGAAGGAAGTCCTGCTAGGAAGGCTAACCTCAGCTTATTCCTGGGAGGGATTGTGGCGCTGCTGACTGGTCTGCTGGCCTTCAGAAGCCCTTTTCCTACCCCTCAACCCCTGGGTTAAAAGTCTGACTTCTGCCCTTCCCGTCTCTCTGGTGCCTGTGCTCGTAAATAGCTCCTCCGTGGAGGGTGGCTGGGCCAGTCGTGGCAGCCTTGGTCCTTCCGGGGAGTCCCTGGAGGCTCCAGGTGGGCCCTCAAGGTGAAGGGGAGCCAGAGACCAAGGCACCGTGGGGCAGCTGGCAAGGAGTTAACCTGCAGGTTGAGGGAGGAGCCCTTCCGCTGACGGGGGGGGGCAGGGGGGGGCAGAAGCAGGGCAGAAGAGCCCTGGCACCTCCTGGGTTCGGGTCACTGGGTATCCCGAAGGAGCTGCCAGGGTGGGAAGGGTCATGCTGGATTTGCTTCCCGCTTGTGGAAGGGCTGCGTCTTTTGGACCCTCCTGCTCTTCTTCGCTGCTGCTGAGACCCAGAAATCTGCCCCACCCCGGGAACCTCTGAGGTGACAGGAGGGGGTCCTGTCTGCAGTTCATGTAGGATGAAGCCAGAGAGCCCAGGCCAGTTCAAGCGGATGGCTCCAGCTGTGGGACTCAGCAGAATAGGTCCCAGCGTTTGGGAAAGCGGCTGGCCAGCCGGAGCAGTTTAAGGCTGCGGGACTAGCAGCCCCGAGAGTCCTTAGAGCGCCCCCCCTCCCTCCCCCCAATCTCTCTGGGGCCTGTGGATGTTTTGTCTGCTTTGCTTTCCGCTCCTTCAGCCCTTGTGCAGCTCCGGCTCTTAATGGAGAGGCTGCACTAGTAGGAAATGAATTGCAGAGCTGGTCTCTGGCCAAGGCTGCCCTGGCTGGGCTTTGTCCCCTGCCTTGCCGGCACCCACCGCGGACTTTCCCCAGCCAGGCTGGGAGCAAAGGCCACGGGGTGCTTTGTGCGGTCCTGGTCTCTTTAGAAAACACTTGGGGCCCCCTGGGTCTCCCTGCAGGAATCTCTGCTCCGTCTTCTTTCTGAAAGCGTGGCAGAGTTGGGGCGTTCAGGGTGGGCTCTTCTTGGGTTCTTATTAGAAAATTCCCTTCAGGACAGTGGGAGTAGCTGTAACTTCCTAAATAACAGCAGTTCCACCCACTGCAGATCTGCCATCTGTCTCACCAAGGACTTGAGGCGGCTTTTTCCGGCTTCCAGAGTGCTTCTCGGACGCTGTTCTGAATATTCTGCCAAGGGCTAATGGACTTTGCGGGGCGCTTTGATTTTAAGATTCCACATGGTTTGCTTTACTTAGAAGCATGACAAGCCACCTCTTCCCCCAAGCATTTGAATTGCAGTTTTCCCCGCTTTCCCTTTGGGAAGCGTTCTGGGACTTTCTAACTTGAGGGACCCAGGAGGAAGTTGCTGCCAATCCACACCGACCCTGTGGGTTTTATGGCTGCCGAGGAAGAGGATTCAGAACCATTCTGGAAGCCGGCTGGGTGGCTTTGGGCCGGTCCCTCTCTCTCAGCCCAAGGGGGAAT